GGGAACTAAGTCTTCAGCTTTAAAAAGGAAGAAAATTCTAGCATGTGCTGCCTACCATGTGGCTGAACGAGAATTCTCTGCTAAGGGGAATAAACTAGTCACAACACGGTTTCACTTCTGTAGCGTTTCCACCATAGCCAAAGTCAGAGGCAGAAAGTAGAAATGCGGGGTGAGGGGCCAGGGGGAGGAATAGGTAGTTATTGTTTCATAGATTTGGAGTTTCCATTTGGGAAGATGAAAAAATTCTGGAGATAGTTGTGATGCTGGTTACAGAACAATGTGAACATATTTAATTTTCACAACTGTATAGGTTAAATTTTGTCATGTGTGTTTTACTACAATTAAAAAAAAAAAGCTGGCACTGGTGTCTCACACCTGTCATCCTAGCTACTCAGGAGGCTGAGATCTGAGGATCGTGGTTCAAAGCCAGCCTGGGCAGGAAAGTCCATGAGACTCTTATCTCCAATGAACCACCAGAAAACCAGAAGTGGTGCCGTGGGTCCAGTGGTAGGGCACTAGCCTTGAGCTGAGGGCCAGCGCCCAGGCCCAGAGTTCAAGCCCTACGACCAACCAAAAAAAGACAGTGGAGCTCAAGTCAGATTGGTTGGTTGGTTGTTTTGTGGGTGTTTGGGGCGGGTTGGGGAGGGTGGAGGCTGAACCCACATAGGAAGCACGTGACCCACAAAGAGCAGAGAAGAAAACATCTGAGTGAAATGTGAGTTGGTGGCAGGATGGTGACACGTGTGGAGACGATCTGATCAGTGGCTTTGCTGCGCCAGCCATGCTACCTCAGCCTCGGTGTTCCTGAACCCGCAGCTCCCCTCATCTGAGCCACAGGGTAAGTTAGAGCTCCTTGCTTACCTCTGACAAAGCTTGGCAGCCAGAAAACCTCAGAGCCTTGGTGTCAAGACCTGTGTTCTGGATCTCTCCTTTCTCTGGGCCTCACTTTTCCTCCAGTAAGCACGGACAGGAATTGGGAATCCCTAGTTTTATGGATTTGTTGTCTGCCCTTAAAGCTCTTGTTCTACTTGGGCTCAAGCCCACCCACCTTGCTGGTTTCCTGTTTGCTTTCCTCCTCTCCTTCCTCTTCTGCCCTGTCACTGGATAAGCTGCTTTCTTTACTCCCAGTTCCACGTGGGGTATGAGCCCAGCCATGGGAGGCGATATGCAGCATAAAGGACAGCCCCTTCTTTCCAAGCAAGTATGGTGAGTTCATGAGGAATTTACCCTGGGAAAGGGAACCCTTCTCAGCTGGGAAGAGGCTGTCCTAAACTGTGCTCACACTCAAAGAGATCATCTTTTTTCTTCCTTCCTCCCTTCCTTCCTTTTTTTCCTCCTCCTCCTCTTCCTTCCATCTTTCCTTTCTTCCTTCCGTCCTTCCTTTCTTTCTTTCATCCTTCCTTCCTTCTTTTCTTCTTTCCTTCCTTCCTTCCTTCATTTCTCTTGTTTTGGTGCTGATACTTGGGCTTAAGCTGAGGACCTGGACTCTGTTCTTTATTTGTTTTTCTCAAGGCTAGTGCTCTACTACTTGAGCCACAGCTCTACTAGGAGCTTTTTGGTGTTTAATTGGAAATAAGAATTTCATGAACTTTCCTGCCTTGGCTTCAAACTAAGATTCTAAGATCTCAGCCTCCTGAGTAGCTCGGAAAAAGCCACTAGTGCCCAACTCTTCTTCTTTCTTGACATAAAGGAATTTCCCTTCTCTCTTTCCACTTTTTGGTAAAATTTCATAGGTGACACATAAAAAAACCCTGTTATCATACTGTACAGTAATACAATGAACACAGATGGAATATTGCTAAGCTATTTTTGTGCTTCTTGCTTTCTACCTTCTGTAACCTTGTGTTTATTATTTTCTTTTTTATCATAAATGCATGCCTATTTATCTTTATTTTCTGGAAGTTATACAATGCCTAGTATTTATTACGTGCTAGACACTGATCTAAATGCTTTAAAATATTAACTCATTTAATTAGTTTAATACACAACACAACTGTAATGGCGATTTCTTTTCTTTTTCCTTTATTTGGTGATAATGCGATTTGAAATCAAGGCCCTGAGTTTAAATGCTTGCTAAGCAGGCACTCTACCACTTGAGCCATTTCCCCAGCCTATGATATCATTACTAATCTCACTTTACAGATAAGAAAGCTGAAGCATAAAGAGAATAAGTAACTTGCCCAAGGTCATAAAAGCAATAAAAAGTTAACATGAGACATATCTACTCCATCTTAATGCAAAAGTTTGTCTAAGGGAGGAATTGTGGGATGTAGGACAGGAGACTCTGTAGTTTTTAAAGAAAATACCTTATTATTTCTAGAGGACCAATACAAACTCTCATCAGCCATTGTTAGAGCTACTATTGACCTGCAACCTCTCCAAACGTGTCAATCCAGTATGGTATCTCATTGCAATTTCAATCTTTTTTTTTTTTTTTTGGTCGGTTGTGGACCTTGAACTGTGGGCCTGGATGCTGTCCCTGGGATCTTCAGCTCAAGGCTAGCGCTCTGCTACTTGAGTCACAGCGCCACTTCCAGTTTCCTGGTGGTTCACTGGAGATAAGAGTCTCACGGACTTTCCTGCTCCAGCTGACTGAATTGCGATCCTCAGATCTCAGCCCCATTTGTAGCTAGGATTACAGGCTGCCCCACTGTAACTTCAATTTTAATTTGCCTTATAATTATTGAGTTAAGGCATCTTTTAATTTTCTTTTCCTTGAATTTTTCCTGTGTCTTCAATATAATTCAAATGATCAATTCTTTGTTATTTTATGACTGGCAGTTTTGAGGTCTTGTAAAGTCGTATCCCAGTGACATAAAAATACACTTCCTGGGGGCTGAAGGCATGGCTCAGTTGGTAGAGTGCTAGTCAGTGAGCAAAAAGCATCAGGTACCAAGTTTGAGTTCCAGTCTCAGACTAAAAACAAAAACAAACAAAAAATACTCTCCTTGCTTCTAGTTCTGGCTTTTTGCAGATTAACTGGAGTTAAAAGTCTCACAGATTTGTCTGCCTGGGCTGGCCTTGAACCTCAATCATCAGCTTTCAGCTTCCCGATTAGCTAAAATTATAAGTGTAACCTACTAGCACCAGGCTTAATCCGTAGGTTTTCAACTAACTAAATGACTGGTTGATGGATGAACTGATTGATTTTTGTCTTACCGCATTGTTTAGGACCTTTGGTGCACTGTTCAATAGAGCTAGAGATCATAAATTTGAAGGAAATGCTAAGATTTACTCATTAAAAGTAATATATAAGTTGTATCTAAGTTTCCTTTCTTAAGTTCAGGAATTTTTCCTCTCACTTGCTGAGCTTTATATCATGCAAGGATGTTGAATGTCAATGTTTGCACATGTGTGTCCTGATTTGTTAAGATGAGTGTATTTTTTTCTTCTTAACTCAGAAGTCAGGACTTCTTCAAAAAGCAGAATCTGGAATAAGACTTGGGTTCAGGCAGGTTAATAGACAGATGCTTGTGGGAAGCAGATGGTGCAAGGAGTGAGACCGCATTGCCACTATCGGCAAAGGGCGTCAGTTCTGCTGGGGTCTCTGGCAGGCCTGTAGGATGCCGCCTAAAGCTGCGCCCCGGGCAGAGGAGGCCGGAGCAGCTCTACTAGAGCCGGTCTTCTCTTTGCATCTTACTTCTCCCACACATCTGGGAGACACAGGCCGATAATTAGCTCCTCAAGCATCACAGATGACCCTGAGTCAAGAGTTCAGAGAATTCTGGGATCAGAATCTAAGCTTGTTACACAGCAAAGCCATCCCCTGTCTGTGCAGCTGGTATGAGAGCGGAGCACTGTGATTGAGAGTCCCGTGTCTGTATTTCCAGACATGAATAACATTCATAGACGTTGCTTCCACTGTTAAGATCAAAACTTAGATATGATGTGTTATATATGTATCATTTGTTTGTGGAGGCAAGATCTCAATATATAACCCAGTCTGACTTCAAATTTGCAGTCCTCCTGAATACTGGGGTGACAGGTTGCTAGGTATTTCCAACCATGTCCAATTTGGTTTGTTGTTGTTGTTTGGTTGATTATGGTTTTGTTTTGCTTTGTTTTTGTTTTTTGGTGCTGTTCCTAGGCTCATACTTAGGGCCTGTGAGCTTTTATGCTCAAAGCCAGCTCTCTACCACTTGAACCACAGCTCCATTTCTGGCTGTTTTGGGTGTTTAAGTGGAGATAAAAGTCTCATGGACCTTCCTTGCCTAGCCTGGCTTCAAACCACAATCCTCAGATCTCTGCCTCCTGAGTAGCTAGGATTTCAGGCATGAGCCACCAGCACCTGGCCATCTCCAGATTATTTATGTTTCATATTTTTTATATACTAACAGATTTGATTTGCTAGTATTTTCTTTATAATTTTTGCACTTCATGAAATTGGCTTTAGTGTCCTTATTTATCCTGTACTTATCTTATTAGGAGACACCTTTCCTGGTGGGTTTTTTTTCCATTCTGAGAGTTTTATTAAAATTAGATTAATTGCTACTGGAACTTTTGTACAATTACCTAAATCTCGCATATTCTTTGTGGGAAGATTTTATTTATTTTTATTTTTTTGGGGTACGGTTGTGGGCCCTGAACTCTGGGCCTGGGCACTGTCCCTCAGCTCTTCAGCTCAAGGCTAGAGCTCTACCACTTGAGCCATAGTGCCACTTCCGGCTTTTTTCATTTTCTTATTTGGTGCTGAGGAATCGAACCCAGGGCCTCAGGCATCACATGATATCATCTTCCCCTGAGGATACATGGCAAATAATACACACACGCATGTGCATGCATGCACAGACACAGACACACACACAGACACAGACACACACACCTATGACACAATTCTCTCAACACTTTGGCTCCAAAGCTGAAGCCCTCCCCATCATTAACATCAAGGGATCAAATGTCTAGAAAGATGTACTGAATCCAACATATTATTATATGGAGGAGGTGTGGGAAAGGGAAAATCTAGAGTACCCGCACAGGCCCTGTCTGGTAGGTAAGGAAACATGACCCTGGAGAAGCAAGACAGGTCTGACTCTTCTAAGTGAGAAATTCCCCAGTCAATTCCTTAAGGACCCCATTTCCTTTCCAAGTCTCTCTCAACATAATATCAGCTTTACTGTTTGACATCTGTATTGGATATCTAGAGAGGAAGGAGACAGATTCAAACTTATCTATCTTTCCAACTGGCTATACAATTTCTGAACTTCCGCTTTGTCAACTCAATTACCTCCTTCTTGTCTAATCTCCAAATCTCATCCCTAAAACACTACACAGTCCACCGTGTAGTACTTCACACTGAACTCCTTCCTTCTCGCTACACTACGGCAGACTAGGCCCCAGCCCGCTTCCTCTCCCCCAAGTCTATGTAGGGACCTGAAATAGTAAGAGCTGGCCCTGGCCAGGCCACACCTCCCTCCGTTGTCTCTTGTAGAGCGTCCCACGCAGGTCACGCTGAAGCTGAAGCCCTCGAGGGTGGTGGTGGGCAAGCCCTCCACCATCGAGTGTGGGGTGCCAGCTGTGAAGCCTCTTCAGAGCCTCGCCCTCACCCTGTTGCATGGTACAGAGATCCTTCAGAACCAGACCTTCACGGATGCTGTGTCTGCTTCCCATGAGGCCACCACCACCTTCAACCACATGGCTCAGAGAGAAGATGGCCTCCTGAACTTCTCCTGCCGGGCTGAGCTGGACCTGCGGTCTCTTGGTGGGAGCCTCTTCCACAGCATCTCAGAGCTCCAGACCCTTGAGGTCTATGGTAAGGGCCACCATCTTGGGGGCAGACAAATCCAGATCCTTATTCTCAGATGGATGGGGTATACACTTGATCTTTGTTGGTTGGTTGGTTGGTTGTGGGGCTTGAACTGTGGGCCTGGGTGCTATCCCTGAGCTCTTCAGCTCAAGGCGAGCACTCCACTTAAGCCACAGTGCCATTTCTGGTTTTCTGGTGGTTTATTGGAGATAGGAGTCTCACAGACATTCCTGCCCAGGCTGGCTTTGAACCGCGATCCTCAGATCTCAGCCTCCTGAGTAGCTAGGATTACAGGCGTGAGCCACCAGCGCCCGGCTTCTCCACTAGTTCTTGACATGCTTGAGCCACATGACCTTGATCAAGGCTGCCTCCTGTTTTTGACCGTGGACCAAAATGTTCTTTGTCACCAGGGAGAGTTTCCCTGCAGCTCACTCGGATGTGCCTGAGGAGGGGCTTCGTCGGGATGGTGCTGAGTCCATTCCATGGTGGCAAGCCACCACACGCTGGTCCCCGGGGATGCTGGCGGAGGGACATCTGCCCTGGTTGGTGGGGGCCACTTTTCTCCTAGAGAGGCAGACAGCCTGGCCAGGCCTCTCCTCAGCCAGGCGGGCCAGGGGGTGACAGGTGGACACCCAGGATCCTGGCACCTGACGGCTTGTGTTCTTCCCCAGAGCCTGAGCAGGACGGCATGGTCTTTATCATCCCCATCGTGTCGGTGCTGCTGTTGGTGACATCTGTCCTGCTCTGCTTTGTCTGGGGCCAGCGTTTGCATCAGAGGCGGAGAGGCCCGTATGGGGTGCTAGCTGCCTGGAGGCAGCCGCCCGGGCCCTTCCGGTCACACCCTGTATGACCCGCCTGCCCACTGGCATGGCGATGCTGGCACTCAGCCCTGGTTGAAGGACTGGGACTGCAGTCCCCTCTGGAGATGTTCTTTTCGAGCCTCAACACAGACCCTTCGACGTAACCCTGTGTTCTCCATATCCGTCCCTGGGATCACCGCCAACAGCTGGCAGCAGATGTGGCCTTCTCTCCCTCAGTGTCTCCCTGTCCTCTCCTTCACAAAGGTTTCCAGAGCCCAAGTCTGCCCTGAGCAGCCCCTCACGGACCAGTCCAGGCCTCGGAGGACCACCCTCACTACCAGTGACCGATTCCTACTGTGGGGAGGGGGGGTGCGTCCCCAGTGCGCTTTGGGCCAGAGGGCGCTCAGCCCGTTCCTAGGAGCAGTACACAGCCCTGACTCTCTTTCTGCTAGCAGCTGGCAACCTGGGGTGAAGGTTTCACGCTGGGCCCAGCTCAGGGGTCCAGAAGGACTCTGTCTAGCCAGCCATTAAGGAGGCTTTAACCTCCTGGGAGAAAGGAGTGGTCCCTTCCTTTCCCACTCCATTATTAAGCCAAAAGTGACACTACAGCCTTTATCATCCCCGAGAGAGGAGTAGAGGCAGAGGTAGGCTGGGCTCTGGCCCAGACAGACAACAGTGGGACCACATCGGCCTCACACAGCTTCTGGGCCCGGGACTGGGCTTGCAGGAGCAGGGACAGGGTCAAGATGGCGGTGGGGAGGAGCGGGCCTGATCCACTGGGAGAGGCTCGTCTGGGGAGGAGGGCTCGTCTGGGGAGGAGGGCTCGTCTGGGGGGGAGGGCTCGTCTGGGGGGGAGGGCTCGTCTGGGGAGGAGGGCTCCTCTGGGGGGGAGGGCTCGTCTGAGGGGGAGGGCTCGTCTGGGGAGGAGGGCTGATGTGCATGTGCGTGCAGCATTAGCAGACAGAAGACAGATGTGGAGGACTCCAGGGCTGTTGAAGCTGGTGAGGACCCGGTGAGCATCCTCCCTCTCTCTCCCTCTCTCTCTCTCTCTCCCTCTCTCTCTCGGTCAGCTGTGGGGCTTGAACTCTGGGCCTGGACACTCTCCCTGACTTCTTCAGCTCTAGGCAAGCATTCTACCATTTGAGCCACAGCGCTACTTCTGGTTTTCTGGTGGTTCCTGGGAGATAAGAGTCTCATGGACTTTCCTGTCCAGGCTGGCTTTGAATCGCGATCCTTAGATCTCAGCCTCCTGAGTAGCTAGGATGATGGGTGTGAGCCACAGGCTCTGGCCAGCCTCCATTTCATGGCAGGCTCTCGGCATCACAGTAGTGTAAGGAGACAGCGTCCCATCTACCCTCCCTTCCCCCCCCTCCCCGCCATCCAGCCACAGTGGCGATGGAAAGCGCCCTCCTGCCTCCTGCTCCACTCCCAGCTCTGACCCCACTGCCTGCCCACCAGGCCTCCTACCTGAAGCTGGGGGTGCATCTGCACCCACAGTCTCTGTGGCACTGGGAGGAGGAGGTGGGGGCACATCTCTCCTGAGATGGGAGAAAACCCCTTTAGCGGCCCCGGGGTACCCTCGAGGGTTTTACCCACAATCCCCTGCAGGTTCTTTTAGCCCAGCCCTGGCCCCAGAGCAGGAAGCAGACAGTGCCCAGACCCCTCCAGCCTTACTTACACCCCTCTTTGTCCAGAGGTAGGAGGCAGGTGCTGAATCCTCGGTGCATCCAGCCTGTGAGGACGGCTTGGAGGAGGGGGCAGGGGAGGGGCTGGCCAGGGTGATGGGGGGCTCAGGGAGGACATGAGGCAGGGCAGGTAGTGGCGGTGGAACACCAAAGGCCCTTCCTCCCATTCTTCACGTTCCCCCCCCCACCCCCCCCCCCCTGTAGACCTGGGCATGCGCAAAGGGTGGATGGAAGATGGTGAGCCAGGCCCAGGCTCTCCCTGCCCCACCCCTCCGTCTCCCAGCAAGTGTGCATTCACTGCACACAAGCAAGGCACTTTGCAGACTCTTCCTCCCTATTTTGTAGGTGGGAAGAGGTTGAAGAACTTGCTTGCAGCAGAGCCTAGGCTGGGGGTTTTGGTAAGTAGCAGAGCACCTGCCAAGCCAGTGCCAAGGCCCTGAGTTCCACCTCCAGGCCTGCCATAAATAAGTAAGTGGTACAGCAGATGTGACCTCAGAGCTGGGGTAGGGAATCCACTGAGATGCCCCTGCCCTTCCGTGAGGGGGTCCTCACCCCGGGGTCTCCTGGGACCTGGGAGGAGGAGCCACAGCAGCTGGGCCCTACTGTGGCCCCCTTCTAGTACTTTCCTCCATTCTTACTCCTGACTGTTAGCGCTGTCAGAGCACCCTTCAAACCCTCAACTCAGGGTTACAGTTCCACCCGCTGCTCAAGGGCTGGTTCAAAGGCCACCAGGGGCTCTCTTCCGAGGACCCTTCCCCATCCACCTGTGGGCATGCATGCTGGTCCTCCCCTGTGCCAGGTGGGCTTGTATTCATAGTCATTCATTCATTCACTCATTCTCTTGCTCAGCAGTATCATGGAAGCCCCTGGTGCCTGCTGTCAGATACCAAGGTACAATGGTAGCTGCTCTCTTGGGGTCTGAAGTCCAGAAATTCCCTCAGCTCCTCAGCTCAAGGCGAGTGCTCTATCACTTAAGCCACAGCACCACTTCTGGTTTTCTGGTGGTTTATTGGAGATAAGAGTCTCACAGACTTTCCTGCCCAGGCTGGCTTTGAACCTTGATCCTCAGCTCTCAGCCTCCTGAGTAGCTAAGATTATAGGCGTGAGTCACTGGTGCCCAGCAAAGTCCAGAATCTTGAAGGGAACTTTCTGGAACTCCCCTTCCTGAAGGCACATCAGTCTTGTCAAAGAGATTCGGCCGGAGAGGTATGCACTGGCTTCCTGCTCTCCATGCCCAGAAGCTGCCCTCTAGTGGGGACCCCAGTAGGATCCTCAGCCGGGGCCCGCACCCCCGCGCACCTGCGGGCCAGGCAAGAATGGCCCTGGGCTCCGCGCCTCCGCCGCCAGGGACTCAGCAGCAGCTGGTGCGTCTGCACGTTCTGCAGCAGCAGCAGCTCCAGCAGGTCTGTAGCCCGGGGTTCCGCGAGCATGCCCAGTTCAGCAGTCCACCTGGGCCTCCCCAGCCAGCCTCAACCGCCTGCCCCCACCCCGGCACCCCGGCATCCCCATGCAGACCTCCCAGGCCCCCAAGCAGAGGGGAGGGGTAAGAGAGGGAAAGGGTGACCCCCAAACCTTCCCTTCCCTCACACGGGCCCGGCTGTGGGGGCCTGGGGGGGACCCACGGGAGGAGCTGCAGGACGGTCACCCAGGGCTGGGGGCACATCGGGCAAACCCCAACACGCCCTTCCAGTGCCTCTCTTTCCCCAAGGCCTCCTCTTTCCCAGTTCAGAATGCAGCCCTTCAGCTCCAAGGTACCCCAGTAAAGGCAGCCTCTGCTTCCCGGCTCGGTGCACTCACCGGTGGGGCTGCACTCTGTGGCGGGGTGTTACCCCAATTCCTGCGGTCCCCAGAGGCCATGCTCTGCTCCTGTGAGTCCTGGTTACCCGGGCAACACAGGAGCCAAAGAGGCAGAGCCCCGCCCAGCATGCCAGGGCTCCACCGATTGTGCCAGGCCCCGCCCAGCATGCCAGGGCTCCACTCATTGCGCCAGGCCCCGCCCAGCATGCCAGGCCCCGCCCAGCATGCGAAGGCCCCGCCCGTTGCGCAAGGGCCCCGCCCAGCATGCCCGGGCTCCACCCATTGCGCCAGGCCCCGCCCAGCATGCCAGGGCTCCACCGATTGTGCCAGGCCCCGCCCAGCATGCCAGGGCTCCACTCATTGCGCCAGGCCCCGCCCAGCATGCGAAGGCCCCGCCCATTGCACAAGGGCCCCGCCCAGCATGCCCAGGCTCCACCCATTGCGCCAGGCCCCGCCCAGCATGCCACGGCTCCACTCATTGCGCCAGGCCCCGCCCAGCATGCGAGGGCCCCGCCCAGCATGCCCGGGCTCCACCCATTGCGCCAGGCCCCGCCCAGCATGCCAGGGCTCCACGATTGTGCCAGGCCCCGCCCAGCATGCCCGGGCTCCACCCATTGCGCCAGGCCCCGCCCAGCATGCCAGGGCTCCACCCATTGCGCCAGGCCCCGTCCAGCATACTAGGCCCCGCCTAGCGCGCCAAATTCACAAGCAAGGCGGGGACGTTGGCCCCACACCTCTCTCTCTCTCTCTCTCTCTCTCTCTCTCCCTGCGGCCGTTTGTTTACTCCCTGCTTCCTGGCAAAGGTGAGCCCGCGAGACCCCACTCCCACCACGGCCGCTGAGCACTGGTGTCCCCGGATCTCCCCGGCGAGCGCTGCCCCGGGCCACGCAGGCGCAGGCCTCCGCTCCTGCTGGCGGTCTCCGCCCCGACCTGTCACCTAGGTAACTGGCACACCTGCAGGCACGTCCTGGCCCTCCCCCGGGACCGAGGGAGCTGTGGCCGCACCTTCTCCCCGCCCCCGGGCGGGACCGCAGCGCCAATGCTGGGTAGTAAGCTTCTCTTCCTGCCTGAACACCGCGCTGTGTTCTCTTCATTGGCCACCCAACGCCTGAGACCCCCAGGGTACCTGGCCTGTAGAGGGGAGGGGAGGGCGGTGGGAGACAGGTGAGAGCGAGCGCCACGTGGCTCCCCGGGCTCTGCTGCCCTCTGGTGGCACTTTGGGGGAACAACACAAGTCAACGCGGGGCTGAGTCCGTGCATCCCTCTAGTCTTTGTGGGCAGGGGGCATTTGGGGTTCGCGTATCTCCTCTCCTCCACCTCCCCTCCTCCGCCCCTCCTGCCTGCCCGCCACCAGCTGGAGCTGGAAGTGCAGAGTGCCCGGCGTCGTACCCCTTGGGCCATACCCACAATCCTTCTCCTTTTGTTATTTCTAAAATGGAGTCTTCAGAGCTGGGAAGGTGGCTTGGTGGTAGAGCGCTTGCCCTGGGTTCGATTCCCCAGTGCCACATAAAAAGGAAAAGCCTGAAAGTGGCGTTGTGGCTCAAGAGGTAGAGTGCTGGCCTTGAGCCAAAGAAGCTCAGGGACAGCGCCCAGTGCCAAGAGTTCAAGGCCCAGGACTGGTACATAAATAAATAAAATACAGTCTTCTGTTGATGATGTGGCTGGCCTGGATCGTGATTCTCCTATTTATGCTTTCCCAAACAGCTGGAATGACAAATGCCACCACCATACACAGCTTTTTTTATTGAGATGAGGTCTCCTAAACTTTTTTTTTTTTTTTAACCTGGGTTGGACTCAAACCACCATCTTCTCAGTGTCAACCTTGTGAGTATCTATGATTACATCTATGAGCCACTGGGCCCGGCTGGTATTACCAATGTTTTATCTTCACGGCTGATCAGCAGCTAATGTAGGTAGATCCCATGTGACCTAGGTAGAAATGACGGGTGTAGGTGTGGGAGATGAAGGAGGCAGAGGAGAGAAAGGAGCATTAGATTGCCAAACAGATGGTTCTAAGTTTGTACACACAGCTTCTGCATAGCTGACAACCCACATGGCCCCTGCCCTTGGGTGGAAGTGCTTCCAGGTCACAAACCTAGGGAGTTGCCGTGGGCTGATCCATCACAGCCCCTCCTCATCCACCTCCTCTTCCATCTTTGATAGAAAGCCAAGCTCTAGTCCAAGGGACCTACCACCTCATTAGCATATTCATTAGATTAAAAGAGAGGAAAGTTGGGCGCCTGTAATCCTAGCTACTCAGGAGGCTGAGATCTGAGGATCATGGTTCAGAGCCAGCCTGGGCAGGAAAGTCCGTGAGACTCCTATCTCCAATGAGCCACCAGAAAACCAGAAGTGGTGCTGTGGCTCAAGTGATAGAGCGTAGCCTTGAGCTGAAGAGCTGAGGGACAGCGCCCAGGCCCAGAGTTCAAGCCCCACAACTGACAAAAATGAATAAATAAAATGAGAGGGAAATAATGCAAATCACTGACAAATAAAGAGCATGTGTCATAAAAGCAAACATCATCCTCCCCAGTCCCCCCAAAAAAAAACATTTAAAAATCCAAACAAGGGCTGGGCACTGGTGTGCGTACCTCTACTCCTAACTACTCAGGAGGCTGAGATCCAAAGACCATGGTTCAAAGCCAGCCCAGGGAAGAAAGTCCAATGGAATCTTACCTCCAATTAACCACCAAAAAGCTGAAAGTGGAGCTGTGGCTCAATGGTAGAGCGCTTGAATGAAAAAGCTCAGAGAAGAGCTCAGGAGATAAATGGAAGCTTCAATCAATCTGCAGCTGCAAAGCCACCCGTCCCTCCTTCCCCACCAGGCGGGGGGACATCTAGAATATTCTGAAGTCACAGAAGGTCCAAGCTGCCAATCTAAAAGCTCAAATCGGGCCTGTGACAGGAATGGGCAGCTTCCCAGGTCAGTGGCATGCATCCCAGCAGACAGGGAGGCTGTGCACACAAGGCAAACGGCCCTGTGGCTCTCCTACCGGAGTGACCGCGCACCAGCCTCAGGAGACACGGCGCCCACCAGCCCTTTAAGTAAAGAACCCCCACATGGTGACTGTTTCCCCAACAAAGCCACCTGTGAAGCAATGGAGAGAGCGAAGCTGTGCTGAGCCACGAATCCATTTATACACAGAGAAAAAAAGAAACAACGTCGTGGGAAATACAGAAGAGAATATGAATGTCATGTCTGCCAACAAAAAAAATACTGCACTAGGAAAATCAGTACTGGGAAGAGGAGGGGGAGAGAGGGGGAGAGGAGAGGGTCCTCCTCTTTAAGGCATCGTCAGCAGGGAATTGCAATGTACCGTTACAAGTAAGAATCTGCCGGGTGTGGTGGTACAGGCCTGTAATCCCAGCACTGAGGAGGCTAAGAGAGGAGGATCTGGAGTTTGAGGCCAGCCTGAACTACAAAGTGAGACGCTTTGGCTTTTGTTTTTAAACGTTATTCTTATTAAGATGTTGTACAGAGGTTTTCTTTTTCTTTGGAGGTAAGATGCTAACGTGGGAACTCAGCACCCGCAGGAAGCGAGGCGTGGGTCTTGAGGGTGGGTGAGGAGGTCTGTGGGGGAGGGGTGGGCAGGGGGAGAAAGCCTTGTGGGGTAGAGGCTTAGTTCAGAGAGAACAGGAAGAACCCAGCAAGGGGGAGCCCGGGGTCTGGGTAATTACTGTCTTCCTCATTTTCTAGCTGAGTGGTTGTCTTCGAATCTGTAGCTGCTTAGTCATTCTTTGGTTAATGTTGTGTAGAGAGACCGGCCCTCCAGGGGGCGCGCAGTCGCCGTGGACTGGTGCTTCCAGAAGGAATGGAAGCTTCTGTGCTAACTCCTCAGGTAGCGTCCCGGGAAGAGGCCACGGTTTCCAGAGACCAAGGCAGGCGATGCCAAGGCCCAGCCCCTGTTGAATCCCGCCCCCCCCACACACAATGGGGCAGGTGTTCTACTACTTCTGTCACTCCCTCAGCCTTTGGCTTTTATTATTTTTCAGAAGCATAAGGTAGGCCTTATGCTTCGCACATAGCTGGGATTATAGGCATGAGTCACTGAGCTCGGTCTTGTGATTGCAAACTCCAGTGTCACTTGGATAGGTCACATCACCTGGTATTTGGTAAAGAAGACATTTCATTCATTTATTCATTCATTCATTTATAGACAGGGTCCCAGTGTGAAAGGACTGGCCTAGAACTAAAACCCCCACGGCCTCGGCCTCTGACGGGCTGGGATCACAAGTGTAAGTACGATTAGATGAGATTAACGTTCATTCCAGTAGACTTTGAACAAAGAAGATTACCACCTGTAATGTGGGTGGGTCTCAACGAGTCAGTTAAAGGCCTATTAAGAGAAAACAGATCACCCGGGTCCCTGGATGAAGAGCGAATGCTCCCTCCAGACCGTCGGGACGGGGACAGCACCAGAGTCCTCCCTGAGTGTCCCCCCTGCCCGCGCACCCTGCAGCCGGACCTTCCCGGCCAGGATGCAGGTGGCTTTCCCTGCCCTGAACACCTCCTCCTTCTCTCTGGTGGCCGCCTCTTTTTCAGTCCCGAGTCTCCCTGGGAGTCAGAGTCCAAGGGAGGAGGCCGAGAGCAAGAAACCGCTCCTCCTCTTCCCTTGCCCCGTCTTCCCCTCCAGCCTTTCTCTGGATGGAAGTAGCTCCCGGGTGTCCTGCTCAGTTCCTGGACAAGTCAAAGCTCTCTGGCTCTCCAAAAGTCATCTCCAAGCTAGTCCCTCCCCCCGCCCCCCCCCCCAGCTAGCCTAGGCTACAGCTGATCTCCTCTTCTGTTTGGGGGTGACTCCGGGTCTCCCATCTGCCCCAGACAAAAGCAGCAGAAAGGGAGGCGTCCCTTCTCACCGCCAGGCCCTGGGGCCCAGGAGGAGGGGGATGCACTGGCTCCTCCCCCCGGGCAGTAGAAGGCTGCCATTGGCTGCCAGCCCTGGAGCTCTGCTCGAAGAAGCCACTCACATTGCAGGCGACCCAGAGACTTGGGATGACAGGCGTCCTCCACGGAGCCAGAGCCCCAGGGAGCAGCCGCGTCCTCTCCTTGTGTTCCCACTGTCCTGGAGGCCTTGGGGGGAGTCCGGGCCCAGGCAGACCTCGCCTCCGAGGAAAGGGAGCCGGAGCCAGTCAGTCCCACAGCGCCTGGGTGTCGTGGCTTCAGGAGGGAGCACTGAAGACTCTTCCAGAAGCCAGTCACAGCTCTGCCTAAAAATGGTTTGTCAGCTGGGCACCAGTGGCTCACACCTGTCATACTAGCTACTCAGGAGTCTGAGATCTGAGGATCATGGTTCAAAGCCAGCCTGGGCAGCAAAGGCCATGAGACTCCTATCTTCAATAAACCACCAGAAAACCAGAAGTGGCGCTGTGGCTCAAAGTGGTAGAGTGCTCGCCTTCAGCAAACGAGCTCAGGGACAGTGCCCAGGCCCTGAGTTCAAGCCCCACAACAAAAGAGGAGGAGGAAGAGGAAGAGGAGGAGGAGGAAGAGGAGGAGGAGGAGGAGGAAGAGCAGGAGGAGGAGGAGGAGGAGGTTGTGTCTTCTACAGGAGGGTCTTCTCCATGCTGGAGGGCACAGGTGGGCATCAGGACCACTGGTTCATATCTTGCTGGCTCTCCCTCCACTTCGAGCTCCTCTGAGGCCTGTTCACCCAGAGGACAGCACTGAGCATGCTCAGAAACAGGGGCACCTTCAGGAAGACCAGCAGCAGGAAGTGGACGCTGCTCAGTAGGGATCTGCAGGGGACAGCGGCAGGAAGTGAGCTGCCCCCTGGGGCAGAGGTCTTGGGTCTCCCTGTGTGCAGATCCTGGCATCCCTGGCCAGGTAGGAACAAACCTGGGAGCCCGGAAGCATGGGAGGGTCGCAGTCAAGCTGTCTGCGGGCTAGACCTTAGGTGCTGCTGGTTCCTAGTACATTTGGCCTGACGGTCACCCCCTCTTTGTCTTCAGCAATTGCCCTGTCCATTGGGCTGGCCTGCAATGAGCCCCTTTCACCTATTCTATTCAATCGCGGTCCTTTCTACCTTGGTTTGGGCCATGTTCTCCAGCCAGGTGGTCCCTCCCAGCCTCATGGCAGACCTGAAAGCTTCCCGGACACCTCACCCCAAAATGCTCTACCTCTGCTCCAACCCTCTCCCCCATGGATTGCCACCTGCTGCTCTGTGTGTGTGTGTGTGTGTGTGTGTGTGATCCCTGACCATAGGTCTAAAAGGCCCTGAACAGTACTGACTCTCCATCCGCCACCTCGCCAGCATCCTGCATCTCCTTCTGGGTCATCTTGTTTTCTCCCTCTGCACAGCAGGAGGCCATGTTCAGCTCGTGGTTAGATTTCAGAGAGCCAGTGCAGGTGCAACTCTACATGCAGGCCGAGTCACGACGAGATGGCACTTGTTCTTGGGAGGTGGAGGAGAGGCCGCCTGACAGGCCAGACATCTAATTCCCTGAACATCGCCCCGGGGGCGCCCTTTCTTCGTGCTCTGCGCGCTCTGGGGCTGTCCTACTGCGCCGCTGCAGTCTCACCCCTTCTGTCTCCCAACAGCTAAAACCTGTCCACTGCCAAAGGTGGCAGACTTCAGCTGTGTCTGCTTCACTCAAGGCTGAGGGGTTCCAGGGAACAGTCAGACTGGAGAGGGAACCAGCAAGACCCCGGAAGGAGCCTGAGAGACGGATTTCTGCCTTGGCTGAAGGGATGCAGGGAGGGAGGTCTGGCCTGCGTTGTGGCCGCGCTTGAATGAAGCAGGCTGAGGGTGGACGTCTAGCAGGCCAGCCCGCGGGTGCTGGTGGCATTTGAGCTGCAACTTTGGTCACCGTCCTGGGTGAGGTGCATCAGGTTGGAATGCTACAGCCCTCAGCCAGGTTGGAAGAGTGAGAACTTCCCCACTGCCCCCAGACCACTTCCCCACACCCCAGGCCCCGCGCGGGAAGTGGGAGGGGAGGCCTGGGACCGTGACACTTGGTCCTTGGCTGGAATGGGTGGAAGAGCAGATCTCAATCCTCCACAGGCAAACCCTGATGCTCTGCCCTGCCCCCTAGGGGCATGTAGGAGAGAGACCGCAGGTGGTACTCAGTCTCCTCTCCAGCTACCTAACTAAAGACCCTGTCTGTGTGTAGTCAAAGCTGACCGCTGCCCTGAGGATGCGTCTAGTCTGAGGACACCCACAAGACAAAGCTACCAGCTTTAACCGATGAAATGACAAGATGCTCAAGGAGATTGGGTATTTGGAGAAATGACATGCCCCCACTCGCTCCCCCTGGTCCCCCCCCTCCGCTCCCCCTGTCACCCTCCCCCTCCCCCCCCCCCCCCCCCCCCCCCCCCCGGTCGTGGGGCTTGAACTCTGGGCCTGGGCGCTGTCCCTCAGCTCTTCAGCTCAAGGCTAGCGCTCTACCACTTGAGCCACAGCATCACTTCCAGTTTTCTGGTGGTTCATTGGAGATAAGAGTCTCAAAAACTTTCCTGCCCAGTCTGGCATTGAACCGTGATCCTCAGATCTCAGCTTCCTGAGTAGCTAGGATTACAGGCGTGAGCCACTGGTGCCCAGCTGATATACACTATGTATAAGTAAGCATAAGTATGTCCCAGGAAATGCTTGGGATATTAAAAAAAAAAGAAGAAGAAGATTGGTTGTTTATCTGAATTCCAGGATTCCTGGGTGCCCTGTGGTTTCTCTGACAACAGTGGGAAAGGGCTGCAGGACCCCGCTGACTTACCGGGCGTCGGGGCCGCTGCCAGTCACTGGTTGGTCACCGTTGGTTGTCTTAAGGCTTGAAGGCGTGGACGACAGATAGATTACTGTGGTTGTCATGACCGTGTTCAAGTGTTCTGAGGCTAAACAGAGCAGAACACAGTGCATTCCATGGACAGCCCAGTTCTGGGTATAGCCTAAAGGCATTTTAGTGCTATAAATTTTCCTCTAATTACTGTGTTAACAGCATCCCAAAGCTTTGGTACTGTAACAAATGTTGCTGTAAATCAGTTTGAGATGATAGCCAAGCAAACTGGTGATCAGCTAAAGTATTTCACTAGTTCTTTTCCAAAGAAAAATGAATTAGCTGGGCAATGATGCCTCATGCCTATAGTCCTGGCTACTCAGGAGGCTGAGATCTGAGGATCATGGTTCAAAGCCAGCCCAGGTAGGAAAGTCTGAGATTCTTAGCTACAATGAAGCCAGAAGTGGAGCCGTGGCTCGAGTGGTAAAATGTTAGCCTTAAGTTAAAAAAAAAAAGCTAAGGGACAGCACCCTGGCTCTGGGTGCAAGCCCCAGGAGTGGTGTACTCACAAAAAGAATTTCTGAGGGGCAAATTAAAGAGACAATTCACAATAATCCATTTAGCCCTGTGTCCCATACCCAACACGCTCACCGGTGTGTGTGAGGCCTTCAGGCCGGGTTCACTCTTTTCTGGATCTCTGTCTTGGTGGAGGCTAGCTCCCAGCACCTGTTCTGTCCCCTCTCAGCCTCTGAGAAGCCCAGGGGTCATGGTCCCCTGGTCATACATTGTAATTCTAACTCTTATGTCTCACAACACAATTATATCTGGATAGGGAGTTAATGAGACAATTATGTTAATATCCTTAGAGAGAGTCTAATGCAATCTGGCTGGGTCCCTTACTAGAAGTATGGACACATGCAAAGATCTCAAGGAGCACAGAGGCACGGCCATGGAAGAGTATGTATCGGGGGGCTGGATGGCCTATCTATTGGTGAGAATGGGTTATTGAAATCTCTTACTATCATTGTGCATGCTTCTATGCATGTTTTTAAGCCCAATAAAAAGCTTCCTTATAGCTGGGCATTGGTGGCTCACACCTGAAATCCTAGCTATTTAGGAGGCTGAGATCTAAGGATTGAGGTTCAAAGCCAGCCTAGGCAGAAAAGCCCGTGAGACTCTCATCTCCAATTAACCACCAGAAAACCAGAAGTGGTGCTGTGGCTTAAGTGGTAGAGCACTCACCTTAGGCTGAAGAGCTCAGAGACAGCACCCAAGCCCAGAATCCAATCTTCATGACCCATGGGGCCGCGGGTGGGGGAAGCTTTCTTGAATACTTTTATTTAGTCTCTAGACTGTACAAAGCTTTTTTTTTTTTTTTGCAAAAAAGAAAACCATAGTTGAGTAGACTGATATTCGTTGCATATATGTTAAGAATTGCTGTATCATCTGGACAGAGAGTTCCCTTTATCAATGTATAGTGACTTTCCTTACCTTTTCTAATTTTTATTCTGCCTACTTTATTTGGGGGGTCCGGTCGTGGGGCCTGAACTCTGGGCCTGGGCGCTGTCCCTCAGCTCTTCAGCTCAAGGCTAGCACTCTACCACTTGAGCCACAGCGCCACTTCCGGCTTTTTTTTCTTTTTGCTTATGTGGTGCTGGGGAATCGAACCCAGGGCTTCATACATGCAAGGCAAGCGCTCTACCTCTACCACTAGGCCACCTTCCCAGCCCCTCTGCCTACTTTATTAGATATGAGAATAGCTACTTCTGGTTACTTCAGGATCCATTTGCTTGCAAGACTTTTTGGTTTTTTTGCCAACCTTTCTGTTTAAGCAAGCATTTTTTTGTTTTGTTTTGTTTTTTGTTGTTGTCCAATAGGTGTGTTTCTTGTAGACAAGAGTTGGTCAGATCTTGCTTTTAGATTGAACTCATCCTTCCATGCTTTTTGTTTGAAGAACTGAATGTGAAAATTAAAAGGAATGTAGCAATGCCAGGCTTCCTCCCCCCTCCCCCCTTCTTCTTCCAATTTTAGTGTTAGGTTCTTTTCTCCTCCTCCTGTGTTCATCTACTTTTCTGGTAGGATTTTCCTCCCCCAGTTTTTCAAGTTTATGTTAATGTTCTCTTCTGTGTACAGGATGTCTTTCTGTATCTTCTGGAGTGCTACTTCAGTGATGATAAATTATTTTAGTTGTTTTTCTTTATCATAGAATGTTTTTATTTATTCTGCTGGATGAGGATGAGTATTGAGTGGGCAGTTGATAACTTTTAACAAAATACCTAATTTCCATCCCTTTCTTTTAAGGTGTTTGTTGAGAAATTTGGCGTTATTCAGAAGAATGCCAAATTGTAAGTGACATGCTTTTCCTTCTGGCAGTTTTCAGTATCTTTATTCTCTGTACTTACACATCATGGAGGGATATTTTCCTGCTCCAGTCTGCTGGGTTTTCTAAAAGCCTCCTGTACCAGGATGGGCTTCTCTTTTTCAATATTAGGAACGTTTTTGGCAGGTTCTCTGTTGACTCTGTTTCCTGTGCCTTTAGTTATCTCCTCTTCACTCCATTATTCCCACGTTTAGTCTTTTAAACAGTCTTGAAGTTCTTGCAGATTCAATTCATATTTCCTTGATCTTTATTCCATATTTATTCTGTTCTTTCTACTATATAACTACTCCATCTTCAAGCCCAGAAATTCTGTCTTCCTTTACATCTACTCTCTTGGAGAATTTCCTTATCTTTCATCTCCAGGCTTAAATTTAACAGGATTTCTATCTCTTTCTTGAAACCTTTTTTCATGTCTTGCAATGACTTCCCTGCTTCATTAATGGGTTTGTCTATGTCTTTTGTTTTTGGTCGGTCGTGGGGCCTGAACTCTGGGCCTGGGCGCTGACCCTCAGCTCTTCAGCTCAAGGCTAGTGCTCTACCACTTGAGCCACAAGGCCACTTCCGGCTTTTTCTGCTTATGTGGTGCTGAGCAATGGAACTCAGGGCCTCATGCATGCAAGGCCAGCGCTCTACCACTGAGCCCCCTTCCCAGCCCCTCTATGGCTTCTTTAATATATTTTAGCTGTATTCTCTGTGCTCCTTAGCTGTTGTCTTCACTTGATATTCATTTGGCGTTTACCTGCCTCTTTGAATTCATTTAGGTGTTTATAAATGCCATTGGTTGATTTCATTAAACATTCTTATCATTGCTTTGGGTTTCGCATATGGAGTTTCTTCCATTTCACTGTCATTCTGATCCCTTGTTGTTGTTCACTTGTTGACTTTGGAGATGTTGTTTTCTCATATTGCAGTGTTGGAATTCACTCTATTCAACACAAATTGTGGGGTTTTTTTGTCATCTAGAGTCTTCAGGTAACGGCTGGGGTGTGCTGTGCCATGTCTCACCACTGACATGGAGACAGCTCAGCTTTAATATATTTGCCAATTTAAGACCTAATTACCTACTTACAAATAGTAGAGTACAATTGGTCACAACTATAAGTATTATATACACAGGGGCTAGGGTTCTTGTATGGAGCTGTAGGGGACAAGAAGAAAAAGAGTAGTGGGTGTGGCGGTTAGAACTTGGGTGTTAATAGTAGGGAAGGAAAGGAAGAGGCATGGAATGCTGAAGACAGCGAAGGCCCGTGACGTGTGGTAACTGTGGCACCAACACACCCACGCGAAGGCGCACAGCTCAGCGGTGGAGAAGCGTGGTAACATCGGGGAGGACAGAGATCGGAAGGAGGGGCACAATACAGATGTAGGGGAGGTGGAATCTGCTACTGGTGAAAGAAAAGAGAGAGAGAAAAGAAGCAAAGCACTCAGATGTTCTTCCCTATGGAGGGTAAGAGTGGCAACCGCTGGGCTCCGTCAGCTGACTGCCTCCGCTCTTCCAGCCCCAGTTCCTGCTGAGGAGCCTGGCTGGAGCACAGACCCACAGAGCCAGCGCTCTGTCTCCCCTAAAACGCGCACAGCATGCTGTGTGTCCCAGCAGTGTCCTTGAGATGACAGCAAAGACCAGTGCTGCTCTGGTCAGTCACCTGCTGCTGGGTTTTCCCATAGGTGACAGGACATTCCCATGGGTCTTGGGATTGGTCCTCTTAGGGACAACGTACATTCAGTTATAAGGAAGTTCCAACTGAGCCCTGTTTGTTTCCAGCTCAAGGCTTTGGCTTTGGGTGTGGAGAGTCAACCGATGAGTGACAGCCTCTTAGGGGTAGGCGCGTGGCACTTCGAGAGCCTTCCCAGTCACACCACTGGGTTAGCCTGGGATTCCCAGGGGTGAAATGTTAGAAATGTTCAGTCGTACTCATACCAGATGCAATGGGGGAGAAGAGTGATTCCCCACTGCTGCTCCCTCACCCACAAACAAGGAGCACAGTTCTCTTCTCTGCCTCTTGCTTGCTTAGGTTCCTCTCACGGGGTTGTATGTTCAAGTCTTGCTTGTGAGTTGGGACTGCACAGCACCTACAGGTGCCCCCTGCTGGGCCTGTCTTACCCTACACAGAGGGACATTCCTGCTCTGTTCTTCATTGTTGCCTTTTCTCCAAGCCAGGCTTGCTGTTCTCCATATAGTTACACTCTTCTACCACTGTGGTGTGGTTTCATTTGGTTCGGCGTGGTGTGCTGTGGTTTGGTGTGGTTTGCTGTGGTATGGTTAGTTTGGTGTGGTGTGGTGTGGTTTGGTGTGGTGTGGTTTGGTGTGGTTTGCTGTGGTATGGTTAGTTTGGTGTGGTGTGGTGTGGTGTGATTTGGTGTGGTTTGGTTTGGAGGGAGGGTCTTGCCAGAAGGGAAATGAAGAACGAAAAAGAGAAAAACAAAAAACAATGCATTTAAAAAAAAAAAAAAGAATGACAACAAGAAAGATCCAGGAGAAAGTTTCCACGCAACTTAGCAAAGATGTTTCCTTCCTTCTTTCCTTTCCTTCCTATGCCTCCAAGCACCCTTTCTTCTTCTTCTTCTTCTTCTTCTTCTCTCTCTCTCTTTTTTTTTTTTGTCGGTCCTGGGGCTTGAACTCTGGGCCTGGGCGCTGTCCCTCTGCTCTTCAGATCAAGGTGAGTGCTCTACCACTTGAGCCACAGTGCCACTTCCGGTTTTCTGGTGGTTGATTGGAGTTAAGAGTCTCATGGAGTTTCCTGCCCGGCCTGGCTTTGAACCGTGATCCTCAGATCTCAGCCTGAGTAGCTAGGATGACAAGTGTGGGTCACGGGCGTCTGGCCCCCTTTCTTCTTTTAGTTAGTGGTTTGGGATTCAGTAACTCTAGTTTCTAATATTCTCTATTTGCCTATACTTTTCTGGGCATCCTCACCTAAACTGACACTTCCCTTAATCAAGATATCTCCACTTCGTCTATGAAGATTCAGGGAAGGTAGTGGTCTGGAACCTGCCATTTGCTTACACAGCCTGGGCAGCACTGAAAGCTATTAGCAAAGACTGGGGTCTCTGGGAAGCATGGAAGGGGGTCTCTCTGGTCCATGGGCTGGGGACCATCACCCTCTCCTCTATGGCACTAGACTCAGGCCTGGGCTTTGAAGAGGAAGGTGGGAGGCCACCCTGGAGAAGGTTCTGGGCGGTGAGGGAGGGTTGTTTAAGAGAAGCCCTGCCCCTCCCGAACCCACGTGGTCTGCCCAGCTCCCCTGAGACCTCAGGACTCAACCCCCTCCCTGAAGGGTCATGCTGAGGGACAGCTAATTCCCATGAGTGGTATCTCAGGGACAAATCTTACCTGGGTCAATTGTCACTTGAACTTCGACCCCAAGATCTATTCCAGTTCTCTCGATTCCACACCAATACACATCTGCGTCACTCATCCTGAGATCCTCCATGGTCACCATGATTGTAAAGTTTGTCTGGTCGTCCGTGATGGACACACGGCCCCTCCTCACCTTCTGCTCTTTGGCGCTGGTCTCAACAAGGATCTCGCAGCTGCTCCAACGTGCGCCTTGACACCACCACTTGTTGTAGGTCTTCCACGACGCAGCATATGCACACTGCACGGTCAGGGAGCCCTGCTCTGGGCCACGCACTGTCCTAGGGCCAGTGATACCCCTTTCTGCAGTGCAGCAGCCTGGAACACACCAGTCCATACACCTGTCAGCCCCACCCTGACAACCTGCACCCCCACGCCATGACAATCCTGCTGCCCTTCAACCTTCCACTGGCCTTCCTTCCCCTCCTTCTCTCCTTCCTTCCATCCCCTCATTCCTCTTCTCTCTCCCTCCTCCTCTCTGCTCCCCACCTCCTCCTCCCTGCTCCTCCCTCTATTCCCTTCTCCCCTTCCTTCTCCCTCCTCCTCCCTGCTCCTCCCCCTCCTCTCCTCCTTCTCCTCGCCCCTCTGCATCCTCTCTTCCTCCCTCTCCTCCCCTTCCTTTTCCCATCCTTCCCTTCCTCTCCCTCCCTCCACCCCTCTGGGGCCTGTCTCTCTCCTATGCAAACCTAGTCTGCTCTGACCACATGCTGGAAGGTTCCATGCCATGGACTGACACCAACGGGCCTCCTTGTGCTATGGCCCCTCCACACAGGCCCCATCTTCTCCATGAATTGTTCTCAAATTCCCAGTAAGAGCCAACTTATGTTTTTTGGAGGGAATGCAATGAAAGGGGAACACACAAAAAAGGAGGAAAGAGGGCTGGGAAGGTGGCTCAGTGGTAGAGTGCTTGCCTTGCATGCATGAAGCCCTGGGTTCAATTCCTCAGCACCACATAAAGAGAAAAAAAAAAAAAAAGGAGGAAAGATCCGGGCACCAGTGGCTCATGCCTGTCATCCTAGCTACTCAGGAGGCTGAGATCTGAGGATGGCGGTTCCAAGCCAGCCCTGGCTGGAAAGCCTGAGAAATTCTTATCTCCAATGAACCATCAAACACACTGGAAGCAGAGCTGTGTTTCAGTGGTAGAGAGGTGGGCTTCAGCCAAAAAGCTCAGCCCCCAGGCCCTGTTTAAGCCCCAGGACTGGCACCAAAAAAAAAAAATGGAGGGAAGAAGATTGAGAAAACATAGTCATTATTCAATGTACACTACGAAAATTGAACTGTGGAACTTGAGGTTGGGGATGGAGGGGGAAGCGTGGAAAACAATGGAAGGAGTGACGAGGATCCGTCGTCCTCATCCCCTGCCTTGTGCAACTGAACCCAGCTGAGCCAGAGCAAAGCCTTTAGCTCAACCCTGGTACTGCGAAAAGCTAATTGTTAAAAAATGCCTTTATTCATTGGTTCATGAATCATATAGAATAGTCAGGGTACAGAAACCAGCCTCTACAAGGTGGTGTTTCCACTTAGTTTTGGTTTTAGTTCGTTTCTGCAAGATCTGCCAGAATTTGCAGGGAAATGGATGGAGCTAGAAGGAATCATGTTGAGCGAGGTAAGCCAAGAATGAAGAGACAAACGGTACATGGTCTCCCTGATAAGTGGATGCTAAATCCAAAATGTTAGGTGATACGACAAAACTAACAGGACTTAAGAAACAAAGAACTCCCACTCATCTGGTTGAACCACTACTAAATATCCCCATGCTGCTGATCACATATATGGTATATAACATGTGAACACCGTTATATGTTACAGACTGTGATAGACAATTTGCTCCAGGAAAGTTAGAATGAACTTGTGACTTTAAATGAGCATCATTATTCCACAATACTGTGAATTTCCGGAAATTATGTAATCACTTAACCACAATCAAAAAAAAAAAAAAAGAACCTCGGGGAAGGGAGGGAGGGAGGGGATGGTAGGGGGAAAACAATGGAGGGGGTAACAATGTTCAAGAGGAAGTGTACTCATTACCTCACTCAGGTAACTGTAACCCTCTGTATAGTATCTTTACAATAAAAAAAAAAATGGAAAAAAAAAAAAAAAAAGACCTGCCAGAGCGCATGCCAGGTCCAGTGAACCTAACTGCTGCTGAATGACTGAGAACGCAGCCCCTTAGCGAGCTTCCCGGGATAGGCTGCCTCTGTCTCCTGCCCAGCCTCTGCCACTGGAGCCCCCACTTACCTGGGAGGAGGAGGAGGAGGAGGAGGAGCAGAGCAGGGTACAGCCACGTGGTTCCATCTCCTGTCTCCATGGTGACAGGTGCCCAGCACCCTTCAAGGCCTCGACCCCCGAGCTGTGGAGAAAATGGCAGACGCTGTCTGAATCCCCCTCAGGGGTCTCCCTCCGTTACTTCCACCCTGTCGCATCTGAGGAGAAAGGAGATGTCCTTCTCTAGAAGACAAGTCCATGGCATGGAACCTTCCAGCATGTGGTGAGAGCAGACTAGGTTTGCACAGGAGAGAGACAGGCCCCATAGGGGTGGCGGGAGGGAGAGGAAGGGAAGGATGGGAAAAGGAAGGGGAGGAAAGGGAGAAAGAGAGGATGCGGAGGGGCGAGGAGAAGGAGGAGAGGAGGAGCAGGGAGGAGGGGGAGGGAAGAGGAATGAGAGGATGGAAGGATGGAGAGAAGGAGGGGAAGGAAGGGGAGAAGGGAGGGGAGGAGGAAGAAGAGCAGGAGGAGGAGAACAGGAAGGAAGGAGGAGGGAGGGGAGGAGACTGCAACAGAGTGCAGGAGGTAGAGGACAGGATGGGGACCATAAGGAGGAGAAAGACAAACCCAAGAACTGAGGAGCCTGGGGACTGCTGCCCGGGTAGGACTCAGGCCATGGGTCTGGAAGAAGGGCTTCCCTGATGGAGGGCCGGTTTCACTGGCTTGGCACTCAGGGCGCATGCCCAGTCCCACGGGAGAAGCCAGACTCCTGACTCCTGACCTCAGGCCAGGTGCCACCACCCCACCACTGCAGCTGGTCTCAAACCACCCCTTCCACCAGGGCCCTGTGGCCAGAGCCTCCCCTGCTGCTCCTCCCCTGAGAGCCTGAGGAAGGGGAAGTTGCTCAATTTGGGAAGACCCCGCCCCCATGTGCTTCTCACCCCTCATTGGTCACCAGTCTGCAAGGAAAGTGTTTATGCTAATGACCCCCAGAGTGATGCTGGCCTGTCTTTCCACTTCCTGCACAGGTCTCTTTCCTCTTTTTCTGGGTCACATGATCCCTCCACTTCTTTCCTGAATCTGCTCTTTTTTTCTCATGGGGCTTGAACTCAGGGTCCAGATGCTGTCCCTGAGCTTTTTCCTCAAGGCTAGTGCTCTACCACTTTGAGCCACAGCTCCACTTTGTTTTGGTTTTGGTTTTGGTTGTATGTGTGTGTGTGTGTGTGTGTGTGTGTGTGTGTGTGTGTGTGTGTGTGTGTGTGGTTTTGGTTTTGGTTGTGTGTGTGTGGTTTTGGTTTTGGTTATGTGTGTGTGTGTGTGGTTTTGGTTTTGGTTGTGGTTGTGTGTATGTGTGTGTGTGGTTTTGGTTTTGGTTTTGTGTGTGTGTGTGTGTGTGTGTGTGGTTTTGGTTTGGTTGTGTGTGTGTGGTTTTGGTTTTGGTTGTGGTTGTGGTTTGTGTATGTGTGTGTGTGGTTTTGGTTGTGTGTGTGTGTGTGTGTGTGTGTGGTTTTGGTTTGGTTGTGTGTGTGTGGTTTTGGTTTTGGTTGTGGTTGTGGTTTGTGTATGTGTGTGTAGTTTTGGTTTTGGTTGTGTGTGTGTGGTTTTGGTTTTGGTTATGGTTGTGTGTGTGTGTGGTTTTGGTTTTGGTTGTGTGTGTTTGGTTTTGGTTTTGGTTGTGGTTGTGTGTATATGTGTGTGTGGTTTTGGTTTTGGTTTTGGTTTTGGTTGTGTGTGTGTGTGTGTGTGTGTGTGTGTATGTGTGTGTGTGTTGCTGGTTAACTGAAGGTAAGAATCTCATAGACTTTTTTTTCTTTTTTCTTTCTTTCTTTTTTTTTTTTTGTTTTTGGCCTAGGCTGGCTCCAAACTTTGATCCCTAGATCTCAGCCTCCAGAGTAGCTAGGATGCAGGCGAGAGCCTCCAGCACCAGGCCAGAACAACACAAATGTTAAGCCTTGCAGCTCTGGAGATAAGTGTGATGTGAGCGTCCAGGCTGCTCCTCCTGCAGTGTCAGGAGTGATCTGTGCCCTCGCCTCTTCCAGCTTCTAGAGGCGGCCGTGGTGTTTGGCTTGTGGCCCTTCCATCTCCAAGGACATTCAAGGGTCTTTCTCCTCTCTCAGCACTCTGCCACTGGCATTCCTGCTCTGTCTGGCATTCATTTGCAGGTCCCTGTGAGGACTCAGGTACCACCTTAGCCTCCCTGGGTCAGCTGACAGGTGATTTAAATCCATCTGCTGTTAACCCTTCCTTGCCACTGGGCATAACATGCTCACAGTTTTTGTTTTGTTGTTGTTTTGCCAGTCCTGGGACTTGAACTCAGGGCCTGGGCACTGTCCTTAATTTTTTTTTGCTCAAGGCTAGCACTCTACCACTTGAGCCACAGCGCCACTTCTACCTTTTTCTGTGTATGTGGTACTGAGGAATGGAACCAGGGCTTCACGCGTGCTAGGCAAGCGCTCTACCACTGAGCTGCAGTCTCAGTCCCACATTCACAGGTTTTGAGGATCACAGTCTCTTTAGGGGAATCCTCATTCGGCCTGCTGCAGTCCCAGGTAGAGGTGTGATTCTCACTTTGAAGAGGCTGCAGGTGGCTTCACCTTGGCTGAATAAAACACCATGATGTGGAGAACACAGGCTGAAAAGTCTCTGTGAGGCTCCTATCTGCAGTTAGCCACCAGAAAACTGGAAATGGAGCTGAGGCTTAAAGTGCTTGAGCGCTAGCCTTGAGCAAAAGAGGTCAGGGACAGTGCCCAGGCCCTGACAAAAAACAAAAAGGCAAAGTAGTCTGGGGCTACCTTTAGGAGGGGCTACTGTTTTAATAGATGTTTGTGCTGGGTGCTGGCTACTCACGCCTGTAATCCTAGCTACACAGGTGGCTGAGATCTGAGGATCATAGTTCAAAGCCAGCCTGGGCAGGAATGTCCATGAGACTCTTATCTCCCATTAACAAGCAAAAGGAAAAAACGTGGAAGTGGAGCTGTGGCTTAAGTGGTAGAGCACCTGTCTTGAGCAAAAAGCTAATGAATAGTGCCCAGGCCTTGAGTTCAAGCCTCAGTACTGGCATGCAAACACGCAAACACACACACACACACACACACACATGACATTTAAAAACTTCAGTTCTAACCTGATCCCCATCCCCCTAACTTTTGCAGAAAACTCAGAAAATTCTTGACTTTTAGATAGAGTTCACTAAGCTTCACAGAGCACAGCTCTGCTAACTCTAAGCTACCACAATGCCTGAGAGGTGTGAAAGACATTGATCCACCCCCACCCCCACCCTCACCCCCACCCTGCCTGGGCACCCACCCGAGAGCTCTTTCAATACCTTGGCACAGGTACATTTCATTCTGTGAGGACAAAAGTTCACTTAGCCTCTTGTTGCCGGAGCAAACGGCAATCTGTGTCCCGGGGACATGGTTTGTCTCGAGATGGCTCAGAATAAACCATTTTTCCTATTTCCTGAGAGCAGAGGTATTGCTTGTGTCCATTCGCGGCTCCAGCCTTCCTCCTCACAGTGCTAGGGAGAGGCTGGCAGGGGAATGGGAGCTGGCCTCCTGCTTTCAACACAATGGAGAGGCGCAGATGCTAACATGAGGCCCACCTGCCTCAAAGACCTCCGAAGAGCCGGCGCTGGTGCCTCACACCTGTCATCCTAGCTACTCAGGAGGCTGAGATCTGAGGATCGGGGTTCAAAGCCAGCCCGGGCAGGGAAAGTCCCTGAGACTCTTATCTCCAATGAACCACCAGAAAACCGGAAGTGGTATTGTGGCTCAAGTGGTATGAACTGAAGAGCTCAGGGACAGAGCCCAGGCCCAGAGTTCAAGCCCCACAACTGACAAAAAAGAAAAAAAATAAAAGACCTCCCAAGAGAAATTACCGAGGTGCACGCGCTTGCTGCCCCAGACTAGCCTGTCACCATGGGGTGCCCTTGGGATCCCTCCACACATAGAGCCATGATAGTTCTCTCCCAGGAGCCTGTCTTTGCATCCTCCTATTGGCACACTTCCCCCCACCCCTGCCACCGCCCCCCGACACCCCTGCCCTGCAGAAGGTGGTGTGTTCAGTCCTGATGGGATGAGGCGCTGGGGGCCACTCCACCCTGGCCTTCGTCTTGGTCACGGGGTCGGATCCAGGACTTGAGTGAGCGTGGAGAAGGACCAGAGGGAGCTTGAGCGAGGCTCGGGGCTCTGCAGGGCGTGGGGCTGCTGAGGAGCGCGCAGAGACTCCAAGGGTAGTTTTAGGATGTGCACTATGGCGTCTCGCCCTCTCAGATCCGCACCAGTGCCTCAGGTCCTGGGCTGGAGGCCGTTCAAGGAGAAAGTGAGGGTGGAGGGGGGAAGGAGTGGGGGCGGGGGAGGGGGTCCCAGGCATGGTTGCAGAGAAGGGATGAGGCTAGGGTGGAAGAGGGGATCAGACTGATCGTGACCCCCCCCCCCACCCAGAGGAGAAAACTAACCAAGGATCCAATGGCCTTGCAGACAAAGTGTCAGACCTAAGTGAGAGATCCAATCACCGTGGCCAGATCAGGGGGGACACCCGGCCCCAGGAGACGCCACCACAATAGACAAGTTGGCGGTATCAGAGGAGGGGCCCTCTGTTTCAAAGATGTAAAAAAAACCAAACCCCTTAATTAATTTTCATCTTAATGAAGCTAATATTCGATCTGTCCTTAAAAGGTGGATGGAATTAATAAAGGACGGTTCTAGGTGGAGAGGCAGCAGAGGCAGGAGGCGAGGATGGGAAAGAGCAAAGCCCTAAGACTCAGCTGGAATTGGCGTGAGTTACAGGGAATTGTGGGAAAGGGGACCAACCAAAATTCAGGTGGACCACAGCGGCCAGGGGAAGGCCCAGGGAAGGCCCAGCCTTGAGCAGCTCCGTGAAGGCCCTGGAATTCCGTGGACTTCTCTGGCCAGGGTCCAGGTTCACCTGTCACAGAGGTTCCTGGGGGGCCCAGGGCGAGAGACAGGGGAAGGTTCTGGAGCTTTCCTCTGGAAGCTTCTCTTATGTTCTTTCTAGACATTGCTCTCCCACCCCTCCAATTTTGTTGTCTTCTTTTTGGTGTGTGGAGGGGAGGGGAGTCAGCCATGGGGCTTGAACTCTGGGCCTGGGCACTGTCCCTCAGCTCTTCAGCTCAAGGCGAGCACTCTACCATTTGAGCCACAGCACCATTTCTGGTTTTCTGGTGCTTTATTGGAGATAAGGGTCTCAGGGACTTTCCTGCATAAGCTGGTTATGAACCATGATCCTCAGATCTCAGCTTCCTGAATCGCTAGGATTACAGGCGTGAGCGACCGGCCCTCAGCTTCAAATCATTTTCTGAACTATTATATCATTTTGTTTCTAGATCTATGCCATTGTTTGATGTCAAGCATCTTTCCCCCCAAAATCAAACGGGTGAGAGGTGATTGGACCATGGGGCTCTGCCTTGATCGTGGAATTCTGAATTCTGAATTTGGTGGCATTATTGGGAAGTGGTGGGAGCCTCAGAGGTGAGGGCTGGTTGTAGGAAATAGATCATGATTTCCCAAGGAGCATCCTTAGGATTATAATTGTCCAGCAGTGTGCTCTCTCTTCCTCTCTCTCTCTCTCTCAAATCCACTTTTAGAGACATCAGGTTGTCCATACTGACATAAAACAACAATTTTGATGTGAAGGAAAGAAGAAAACAGTTTATTCTGAATCAAAGGAGAGTGACAGGGGCCAAGAACCCAGATTCCGGTTGACCTGAATGAGGGGGAAGAGGTTGCAGGGACTCCTACAGACACAGAACCAATCTGTCCTCCATCAGCTGCGCTTTGCCAGGTGCACTGCGGGGTGTGAGGCAGGGGCTGCAGCCGTGTGGAGGAACTTTCTCTGTGGGTTTCAGACGCGTGCATCTGGCTTTTAGTCACTGAGATGGGTTCTTCTTAATTTTTTGCACTGATTGACCGGGAACCATGATCTTCTCAATTTCTGCCTCCTGAGTTGCTGAGATTACAGGTGTGAGCTACAGTACTCAACAGTACTTGTCTTTCTTCATTGCATTCCTCCACAAGAATGTATCTGTACCATTTGCCTATTCACTTATCAGCTAGGGACAGGTGCTAGCTTAGTGTTTTGTTCTGAGACAGAGTTAGTGTTTCCATTAGCACAGAATGGCCCCAAACTCATAATCTTCATACCTCAGCCTCCTGAGTTGTCAGACTAGAGGTATATACCACCACATCCAGTGTTGGTTCACTTTTCAGAGTCGAGGGGGGCGGGGCGGCGGTGTATTGGGGATGGAATCAGGTGAACTCAGGCTTTGTAGGCAAATGTTCCACCACTTGAGCCATGTTCACATCCCTTTTGTTTTTTAGTCTTTTTTTTTTTTTTAAAGATAAGGTCTGCATTAGTTTTATAGCTATGCCAAAATACCTGACAGAAACAACTTCAGTGAAGAAGGACTTATCCTGGCCCACGTTTCCAGAGGCTTCCATGCTTGTTTGCTTGGCTCCCTGCACTTAGAATCATCATGGCAGCAATGGGTGGTGGAAGAGTTTCTTCACCTCATGGCAGACAGGAAGTAGAGGGGCAGGAAGGGACTAGGGACAGGATACCTCCAAAGATCTTCCTGTCCTCAGTGACCTACTTCTTGTAGGAGGTTCCCACCTCCTAAGTTTTATAGACCCTTCCAAAACAGGGAAAGGGGAGGGGGAGATTTCATATACACATGGTAACTCCTACAGTTGTTCTTAGGTATCTGCAGAGAACTGATTTCAAAACCAGTCCTAGAGGAAGTGGTACCACATGTGGCTCAAGTGGGAGAGTGTTAGCCTTGAGCACAGAGAGGCTCCAGAACAGCACTCAGGCCCTGAGTTCAAGTCCCACAACTGACCAAAAAATAAAAAACCAGTTCTAGATCCTCACATCCCCTACATAAATTATTTTCCATAAAATCTACATGTGTCTTCCATACACCTCAAGTCAACACCTCTGCATTATGTATAACACCTGACACAATGCAAATGTAAACATTCATTATGGTATATTGCAGAGGGAAGTTTCTACATGTTCAATCTAGATGGCTTTTATAGACAGAGAAAGAGAGAGAGAGAGTACTGGAATTTGAACTTAAGGTCTCTCTCATACCTGTTAGGTTGGGATTCTTACCATGAGTCATGCCTCTAGCCCTATTTATTTATTTTTTGGGTCAGGTTGTAGGGCCTGAACTCTGGGCCTGGGCGCTGTCCCTCAGCTCTTCAGCTCAAGGCTAGCGCTCCACCACTTGAGCCACAGCGCCACTTCCGGCTTTTTTCTTTTTGGTTATGTGGTGCTGAGGAATGGAACCCAGGGCCTCAGGCATGCAAGGCAAGCGCTCTACCACTGAGCCACCTTCCCAGCCCTCTAGCCCTATTTCTTTTGTTGCCGACCACTTCTGAGATAGGGTCTCCTTTCCTCAGTCTGCGTGTTTTAGGGCTCCCATCACCGGTAGGACAGCAGGTACATACCACAGAATCCAGCTCTCTTTTGAGAAGAGGCCTTGCAAACTTTTCTGTTCCTGCTGGCCTTGGACTCTGGTCCTCTCATTCTCAGCCTCCCAAGTAGCTAGGATTACAGGTGTGAACCATCAGCACCCATCCAGGTGCTTTCTCTCTCTCTCTCTCTCTCTCTCTCTTTCTCTCTCTCTTTCTCTCTTTCTCTCAGTATTTTTGATCTTCATTTGGTTGAAATTCAGAGGGCCAATTATATACAGAGATAATACATGCACAGGGTACCTTTGGTATTAAAATTTCATTCACATGGGAAGAAGGTTTGAGACAGGAAAATACCTATACAGGCTCTTTCGAAGGATGCTGAGGGCCAGATTGAGAAACCCTGCTGGAACCTACTGGTTAAAGCAGTCCCAGGCCACCCAGTCTCAAACAGAGGGGTTATACACCTCCAACAGTGCTTCACCAAGTGCTCTACCACTTGAGCCATGCCCCAGACCTTTTTTTGGCCTTTGTTTTTGTTTTGTTTTGTTTTGTTTTGTATCGGGTCGTGGGGCCTGAACTCTGGGCTTGGGTGCTGTCCCTCAGCTCTTCAGCTCAAGACTAGCGCTCTACCACTTGAGCCACAGCGCCACTTCCGGCTTTCTTCTTATGTGGTGCTGAGGAATCGAACCAAGGGCCTCAGGCGTGCACGGCAAGCGCTCTACCACTGAGCCAACTTCCCAGCCATGTTTTTTGATTGTTTTAGATAGGACCTCCTGCTTTCAAGAGGGCCAGTTGTTTAGACTGTGATCCTCCTTTCTCCTGCTTCTAGTAACTGAGATTATAAGCAGGTGCCCCCACCCCCAGATCAAGGCCCAAACTGCATGGACAAGCAGTTTCAAAAGAATTTGTCATGGTGATTTTAAACTTCCATATGGAATCTTAACCTAGCACCTCCTTGTCACATACAATAAAAATGATGAATCCTGAAGGTGTCATATGACCCGGTACCCAGTCACAAAGTGGGGAGCTGAGTTGTTTCTGGCCCCTGGATGCCATCTGTCCCTGCCTCCTCCCTGCAGGCCCACCTGTGCACCTGAGAAGGCCAGTCCCTGTGCCTGCTGGGGTACCATATGGGCCAGCCGTAAATACCAGGCTCCTGCAGACCAGCATGCAGGATTTGCATGAACCTACAGACGTGTCTCACTTTGGTCACTGTATTGTTAAGGGCAACTGATTGCCAATGCATACACATAACCAGGTGTCATTTGCTCAGCCAGTGGTTCTGCTCTCCGGTCTGAACTCACCCTTCGAAGGTGGCACCTGTCCCTGGGCACTACTTAATTCCATACCAAAAAAAAAGCCCCCCCCCCCCAAAAGAAAACAAAACCAGCTCAACAATGAAGCAACAGTTTAACAGAATGAAGAGACCCGGGAGCTGAACCCTGTTTTGTCTCGGGGCTTAAGAGAAGGGAGGGCAGGTGAATATGGAGAAGGATTGGTGAATGCAGTCATCATATTCAACGTACATATGTCAATATGCAACCAAGTCACTCGAGGCACAGGGAGCTGGCACACTTGGGAGGGAAGGATGGAGGGGTGATACTGTTCAAGAGCTCTTGCACTCCTAACTTGACATGTTGAATTGACACAACTACTTAAAGACCTTCAAACACACACACACACACACATAGAGCTGGGTGCTATGCCTCTCTGCCAGCATGCCTCACTTCCTCTCCCCTAGGCTGGCTCCGTCTGCGTTGCCACAAGAGAGTCTGCGCTGAGCTGAGGTGACGTCACCAGGAGGAGCGGTGTGGGCAGAGTGCTCTGCACACAGGCCTCCCGTGGTGACGACCTCGAGGGCTGCTTCACTTGTGTGCTGCTCTGAACGTGGCCCCTCTCTGGAGACTGGCATCACCAGTTCAGGCCTTGTACTGGGGCACAGGAGAAAGTTGAGTCCAGGTGCAGGGAGCGAGTAGAGATGAGGACATTGGTTTGTGGCCCGCTGTGCATGCAGATCCTCTCTGCCAAGTGCAGGGAAGAAGCAGTGGCAGGCAGTGAAAAGTGCAGTGGAGCCCATGCTGGGCTAGGACGGACCCACGGCTGCAGCATCGGGCTGTCCCGATGTGGGGAAGCATGTCTTCATCTCTGGGCCCTGTACCCCATCTTTGAAAAGCTATCTTCCTCCTTAGTGGAAGGAGTTCATTGCTGATGAGTGGGATCAGACAATTTCTATAGCAAACATAGACCTTTGGATAACAGTGTGCATAAATTGGGGGGGGGGGATTCAGGAGTGATCTTAGGGACACCCCCACTTCCTTCTCCCATTGCTGCTCCGACTCACCTCGGCACTCCAACCTGGAGCTGCTGGACCTTGGCCAGCCCCGGCTGGACACACTGAACCCCCCACCCATGCGCTCTCAGGATACAGGCCCAGAAGGCCACGGGAAGCCCAGGCCAGCCCTGCCTGTGCAGAGAGGGGAAGAATGCCAGGTGCTTAGGAGAGAGCACTGTTGCATGAGCATGCTCTCTAACATCCTCCAAGATGGTTCCAGAACAGGACATGGAGCCAAAGCTGTGTCTACAGGAAGGGGTGATGACTGCCCTGGGCGGGGAAGGGAGGGACGGGCATTGAGCTGAGCAGCTCCAGTGTAGTGACTAGGTGGTGAGCATGGAAGGTTCAGAACATTCTTTCCATGGGGAAGTGGCATGAGGATGGAAGGCAGGGGATCTGAGGAGGGAGGAGCTCTTCCTCTCCACCCTCTATCTCTCCCCCCTCCCCCTACCTCCTCCACTCCCCCTCCCCCACCCCCACCCCAGCAAGCAGAAGCTGCCAGGCTGAGGAAACCAAGGGAGTGTCCTCTCTATCCTCCCTGGAGGTTCAGAAACCATAACTTCTCCCAGAATCCATCACGGCTGCATTTTGTCCAGAGTCCAAGTCTTGGCCCTGTAGTCTGATGAGCTGCCCAGCTGTATGGAGAGTTCATCGAAGACTGCCTTCTGGAGTCCCAGGTAAGCGACTCTCTCTTGCCTGGGAATTCTCTGAGCCCTGTTCACCCAGACGACGGCACAGAGCACACCCAGGAGCAGGAGCAGCTTCAGGGTAATCAGGATCTGGACATAAACGCTGCTGAACAGAGACCTGTGGGCAACAGGAGGACAGGAAGTGAGGCGTCTCCCTGGGGAGTGCTCCTGGGGCGCCTCTTCTCTGCCCCTCTGTGTGCCCAGACTCCTGAGGCCAAATAATTCCGAATTGAACCGGGAAAGGGCTCGGGGCAGCCTGTCCAGGTGACTCCATGACCTCTCCTCCTTCAGCCAAGGCCTGGACATCAGAGTCTCATCAAAAGTAAGGTGAGCAGCCCAGCTTTCCAGAAACACACTCAAGGGCCACCCTGCTGGGCGCTGGTGGGTAACTCACACCTGTAATCCTAGCTACTCAGGAGGCTGAGATCTGAGGATCATAGTTCAAAGCCAGCCCGGGCAGGAAAGTCCTGAGATTCTTTTTTTTTTTTTTTGGGGGGGGGGGTCCAGTCGTGGGGCCTGAACTCTGGGCCTGGGCACTGTCCCTCAGCTCTTCAGCTCAAGGCTAGTGCTCTACCACTTGAGCCACAGTGCCACTACAGCTTTTTCTTTTTGCTTATGTGGTGCTGAGGAATCAAACCCAGGGCCTCAGGCATGCAAGGCAAGCGCTCTACCACTGGGCCACCTTCCCAGCCCCATGTCCTGAGATTCTTATCTCCAACAACCATCAGAAAACTGGAAGTGGCGCTGTGGCTCAAGTGGTAGAGCGCTAGCCTTGAGCTGAAGAGTGCCTGGACAGCGCCCAGGCCCAGAGTTCAAGCTCTACGACCACCACCAACAACAACCCCAAAAGAGTCACCCTCTCCCATCCTTCAATCCTTCTGGAAACTTGCTTTGAAGTCTTCCCCTTGTGCCACCCCCTCTGGGTCCGGCATCATCACCATCATCACAGCCTTTCTGAGTATCTTTGGGAGAGGAAGGGAAATGGATCCAAACTCCAGCCTGAAGCTAACCTGTCTCCCCACAGAACTCACAGACAGCTCCTGGTGGCAAGGAGCAAAGACAAAACAAGGACTCCTTCCCCTGGTCTGAAGTGAGGTGGGGAAGGACAAGGTGAGAGGAGGAATGAGAAGAGCGTCCCAACATCTTCCAGAGGCAGCTTCCAGCCCAGAGCCTGCACCGTCCCCACTCCGCACCATGTGCAGCCTCGGAGAATGTAAAAATGCCTGACGCAGCGTTGGAGAAGACGCCAGCTGGCAGGGAGGTTTTCTAGACATGATTTGCTACCCCCCCCCCCCGACCCACAGGTCCCACAGGCTGCCAGACCCCCTCCCCATCTCTAGGCCTCAGGTCCTTACCATGAGTAGACAGCAGACACCCTATTGGTGCTGAGGTTCTGAATGGCAGTTACCAGCGGGGTGGTGGAGGTGGCAGTTACCAGCGGGGTGGTGGAGGTGGCAGTTACCAGCGGGGTGGTGGAGGTGGCAGTTACCAGCGGGGTGGTGGGCGTGGCAGTTACCAGCGGGGTGGTGGAGGTGGCAGTTACCAGCGGGGTGGCGGACGTGGTGATCACCATGGGCGTCGTAGTGGCTGTGGGGGAAGGGGAGTCACAGGTCAGGCCACGGCTCTGTGTCTCGGCACCTGTTTGGATCTGACGTCACACAGAACCGTCCACTCACAGCGGGTTTAGAGACATGCTCAGAATCCAAACCCAGGCCACCTCTTGGGTGGAATGGAGCTGTAGCCAGGTCTTTCTGACCATCTCTGTCTGAGGCTGCGTGGCTGAGGGCAGGCATCTCCCGGGGACTGCTCTTGCTTGGTGAGGACTCCCGGACAAGGGAAGGGGGAGCAGGATGGCTCATCCTGCAGCCCTGAGACCTTCCCAGGGCTCCTGAGAGGGGGCCCTAAGCAGCCCTCAGATGGAGACCACTTAAGTCCACCTTAACCCCGTAGGAAACAGGCACATGGTTTCTCCGCCTCCCCCCAAGGACAAGTGTCAGCCCATTGGCATCAGCTATACCCCTTCACTTGACCCTACCCAAAGCTGACGAGTCAGCCACCTCTCCCTCCCCCTGCCTCACGGGCTTCTGTCAACTCTACCAAGAGTGAGGACCAGTCTCAGAGACACGCTCCACCCTTGCCCCGGGTCCAGTCAAAAGCTCCACCACCCACGCTGCGAGAGCTCTTACCTGGGGAAACATACAGGGTTACAGCCACGGCAGGGTCACGTGACAACTCATCCAGGATCCACACGGTCTGGATCTTGCACCAGTAAGGGCCGGCGTCCTCTTCACGGAGGTCCCTTATGGTCACCACCATGGTGGCGTCGGCACCATTGTCTCTGATGGACACGCGACCACTCCTCACCTCTTCCTCGTTCCCGTGGGTCTGAACGATACTTTCACATTCTATGTCATGCTCTCCTTTGCACCAGTATTTGTTGTAGCCCCTGTACCCCTCATCATACCGACACTGCACGCGCAGGGAGCCCCCTTCGGTGCCCGTCACAGAGCCAGGACCTGTCAGAGACCAGCAGCCTGGAAGACACAAGTTCCAGGTGTCCCTGCAGAAGCAGCTTGCTGGAGAGGGTGAGGCCCTTCTACCCTGCCTGTCTCCTGTCCTGCCTCCTCTGGCAAATAAAACCCTTCCCTGAGGCCTTTGCCTTACAGGTCACTTGCAACTCAAACTTTATTATTATTTGTTGATTGTGGGGCTTGAACTCTGGGCCTGGGCATTGTCCCTGAGCTCTTCAGCCCAAGGCTAGCACTCTACCACTTGAGTCACAGTGCCACTTGTGGTTTTCCGAGTGATTCATGGGAGTTAAGAGTCTCACAGACTTTCCTGCTTGGGCTGGCTTTGAACCACAATCCTCAGATCTCAGCCTTCTGAGTAGCTAGGACGACAGGCGTGAGCCACCGGCGTCTGGCTTAATTTTTTGTAACTTTTTTGTCTTTAAGTAGTTGTACAAAAGGGTTGTCATCCAACAAAGCAGTTTATAAACGGGGTGCATTTTGAGCAACGTTCTTGCCCACCCCTGCCAACTCACCCCTTCCCTTATGTTTCTTAATTTTTAGGGGACATATTGAAATTTGTTGCCATTGAAACTGCTTTGTCAAATTTGATTTTTTTTTTTCTGATGCAACTTCTGATTTTCTTTGCAGTCCGTGTGTTGGTTTGGTTTGGTTTTGGTCGTACTGGGGTTGAACTCAGGACATATTGCAGGCATAGCACATGAGCCTTGCCCGAAGTATATTTTGCTTTAGTTTATTTTTCAGATAGGGCCTCTCACTTTTTTGCCGGGGCCAGCCTCAGATAATGATCACTCTGCCTCAGCCTCCCAAATGCTGGGAATATAGGCCGGCACTAACACACCCAGCCTCAGATAACGATCACTCTGCCTCAGCCTCCAAATGCTGGGAATATAGGCCCGCACTAACACTCCCAGCCTGGTTTTCTTTAACATGATGTTCTCTGGGTTCGTTCACATTGTCGTAAGCGACAGGACTGACTAGAGCCTTACACAGTATGTACACATACCAAAATATTATGCTGTCCCTCAGAACTACGTCCTTACTCTATGTGAACCAAAATCAAATCTTAGAAAATTGTGTTGGCAATGTGAACGTGTAGATTGTCAAATGCATAGCAAATACAAGGTCTGTTTTTGGCCATTTCATGTTGAAATTCACTTTCCTCCTCTGCCCTCTCCTCGCTCTGGAATCCTCTCCTCTAGTTTTTTTTTTTTTTGGGGGGGGGGGGGGTTGGGTCCAGTCGTGGGCCTGAACTCTGGGCCTGGGCGCTGTCCCTCAGCTCTTCAGCTCAAGGCTAGTGCTCTACCATTTGAGCTACAGCGCCACCTCCGGCTTTTTTCTTTCTGCTTATGTGGTGCTGAGGAATCGAACCCAGGGCCTCAGGCATGCAAGGCAAAAGCACTCTACCACTGAGCCACCTTCCCAGCCCCTGGAATCAGCTCCTCTTAGCTTGCCTTTCATCCATCTCTTTCTTCCGGTTCTCAGGCTGGCCATGTAACCCTTGCAGAGTGCCTCCAGACATTTAAAGCAATTACGTTCCACGCCCCTCTGTCCCCCCAAACTCAGGACAGGTGCAGTGTGCGGAGAGGAAAAGCCAGGAAAAGAAGGAGGGACCTAAGCCAGGAACTGGGATGAAAATGGAGAACTGAAATCCACACTGCAAGGGATTTTGGAGCTTTAAACTGGTTCCATGAGGAACCTCCGGTCACAGATGTACCCGGGATGGACAGGTCAGGGAGATCAGTCAGCACCCTGTGCACGGGTGGAAGAGGTTTCATCAACTGAGCACCTCCAACCAATGCACTGGAGAAACAAGCAGGTCTAAACAAGCAGTGAAGTGGTGCTAAGTCCTGATTTGTGCTGTTGGCTGGTTTCTGCAGCACAGATATTCTCACCATGACTGATTTCAGGCTGTCACTGACTGTAGAGACGGAAGACATGCTCTCCTATGTCCCAGCCTTGGGAGCTGGTACAAGGTGACTCTTGCCACCAGTGTTACAGGTACCTTTTTCTGAAATTGAGAGTTTACTCAAACTCCACTGTGATCTAAATTATCTATTGCCATCATCATCATCATCATCATCATCTTTATCACCATTACCATCACAACCATAATGACTACCAGTACTATCATCACTATTAACATCACCAGTACACCACCACCACCATCATCACTACAACTATCACCACCACCAACATTATCACCAAAAAACCATCATCACCACCATCACCACTACCATCCTCAACATCACTACCAACAATATCATCACTACAACCACCACCACCCTCACCACTACCATCACCACCACCAACATCATCACCACCACCATCAGCAGCACTACAACCACTACCACTAACATTATCACCAACAAAATCATCATCGCCACTACCATCCTCAACACCACTGCCAACAACATCACCACTACAACCACCACCACCCTCACCACTACCATCACTACCACCACCAACATCATCATTACAACCACCACCACCACCATTATCACCAACAAAACCATCATCACCATCACCACTACCATCATCAACACCACTACCAACAACAATATCATCACTACAACCACCACCACCCTCACCACCACCATCACTACCACCAACATCATCACAACCACCACCAACATCATCACTACAACCACCACCACTGACATTATCACCAACAGAACCATCATCACCATCAACATCACCACTACCATCATCAACACCTCTACCAACAATATCATCACTACAACCACCACCACCCTTACCACCACCATCACCACCACCAACATCATCACCACCACCATCAGCAGCACTACAACCACTACCACTAACATTATCACCAACAAAATCATCATTGCCACTACCATCTTCAACACCACTACCAACAACAACATCACTACTACAATCACCACCACCCTCACCACTACCATCACCACCACCACAACCACCACCATCATCATCACCACCACCATCATCATCACCACCACCATCATCACCACTACAACTCCCACCCCACCATTATCACCAACAAAACCATCATCACCACTACCATCCTCAACACTACTACCAACAACAACATCACTACTACAACCACCACCATCATCATCACCACCACCATCATCACCACTACAACCACCACCACTACCATTATCACCAACAAAATCATCATCGCCACTACCCTCTTCAACACCACTACCAACATCATCACCACTACAACCACCACCACCCTCACCACTACCATCACTACCACCACCAACATCATCATTACAACCACCACCACCATTATCACCAACAAAACCATCATCACCATCACCACCACCATCATCAACACCACTACCAACAACAATATCATCACTACAACCACCACCATCCTTACCACCACCACAACCACCACCACCCTTACCACCACCACAACCACCACCAACATCATCACCACTACAACCCCCACCCCACCATTATCACCAACAAAACCATCATCACCACTACCATCCTCAACACCACTACCAAACACAGCATCACTACTACAACCACCACCACCACCACCACCACAACCACAACCACCACTAGCATCATCACAACCACCACCAACATCATCACTACAACCACCACCACTGACATTATCACCAACAGAACCATCACCACCATCAACATCACCACTACCATCATCAACACCTCTACCAACAACATCATCACTACAACCACCACCACCCTTACCGCCACCACAACCATCACCACAACTACCACCATCATGATCACCACTACAACCACCACCATCATCACATCACTGTTAACCACTATTACCACTACCACCACCACCACCATCAGTGAAGACAGTATAAGTCCCTCCGATATGTAATGAGATGCATTTCTTCCAAATATCTGACTTTAAAGATCTAAATTATTATGGATGTTAAGAGATCAACCATTTTACTGATTAAAAAATTACATTTTGAGCCCGAGCACTGGTGGCTCATTCTTATAATCCTAGCTACTCAGGAGGCTGAGATCTGAGGATCATAGTTCAAAGCCAGCCCAGCAGGAAAGGCCATGAGACTTTTATCTCCAATTAACCACCAGAAAACTGGAAGTGGTGCTGTGGCTCAAGTGGTAGAGCACTCACTCGCCTTGAGCTGAAGAGCTGAGGGACAGCGCCCAGGCCCTGAGTTCAAGCCCCATGACCAACAAAAAAAAATATGCTTTTGGTCACTGTCACCAACCTTGAAATCTGTCTTTTGCACTCATCATTCTAGAAAGAGTCTGGTCATTGCATCAGGCAGTTTCTGTGTGTGTGTGTGTGTGTGTGTGTGTGTGTGTGTGTATAGACATAGGTATGTGTGTGTCCTGAGGCTTTAACTCAAGGCCCACACACTGTCCCTTTTGTGCAAGGATAGTGCTCTACCACTTGAGTCACAGCTCCATTTCTGGATTTTTTTTTTTGCAGTTTATTGGAGATAAGAGTCTCATGGACTTTCCTTCCCAGGATGGCTTCAAATCACGATCCTCAGTTCTCACACTCACATGTAGCTTAGATTATAGGCGTGAGCCAACAGTGCCTGGCCAGTTTCTATGTTTTGTGAGAGATCCTGAGCATAAATCAAACAATGAAGATTGTCTTCTCATTTTGACCCCAAACTTAATTTCCCCGGGAGGGGGAGGGGGTAGGGATAGGGAATGTGTTTTCCTGCTTTTTAAAAAGAGTTTCTTTTCTGGAAGGCCAATGTTTGAGGGGCAATTTTGCTTATTTGTTCAAACCAGATGAAGATGAGTTCTTATTTATTTACTTATTGCTGCTCCTGGGCTTGAACTCAGGACATGGGCGTTGTCCCTGAGCCTGTTTATGCTCAAGGCTAGCACTCTATGACTTGAGCCACAGTGCCACTTCTGGCTTTTTCTGAGTAGTTTATTGAAGGTAAGAGTCTCACAGACTTTCCTGTCTGGGCTAGCTTCAAACCATGATCCTCGGATCTCAGTCTTTTTGATTAGGAAGGATTACAGGTGTAAGCCACCAGCGCCCAGCTTCTTAATTTTGGGGTAGGGTCTCACCACGAATCCCAGACTGGCTTGGAACTGCCAGTCCTCTTGCCCCAGCCTCCTGAGGGCTGGGTTGCAGGTGAACGTCATCATTACTAAGTCTTCCTTGTGAACCTTCCCCACCCCTTTAAAGAAGCCTGCAACACAGAACTATTGCTAATTCCTATGCTTTGTCTTTATTATCTCCATGCTATTCCTTTGCTGCTCAGCAGACTCATTTGTCTTTCAAAACCGACTTCCACGAAGCCTCAGCAGAGCCTTCTATCCTTCTAAGAGCAGAGTGAAGGCTCACTGTGGCCCATAAATGCATCCATACGGAACCAGGTTCTGCACTGCCTTCCAGCAACTTGGCTTTGAGTTCTCCATCTAAGCACCAGTCCTTTGAACGCCCACCTTACTTATAATTACAACACCTATCGCACCATTGCACATGCTCAGTAAATGGTTGTAAGGTCCACAGGCAAATGTTTGAAGGCACAGGACAAGAACTGTATGAATGGTCATGTTCTTCCCACTTCTGTGGGCACCTGACCCCTGGTTTGACCCATAACCCACAATGTCAGGTCCCCAAAGCCACAGCCCCACTCACTCACCTCGGAAGCAGAGGAGGAGCAGGACAGGGGAAAGCCACATGGTCCTGCTTTCCTGGTGCTGGCTGCTCCCAGCCAGTCTCGATGCCAGCTGGAGTGCAGGTATGTGATTGGTTTCTCCTGTTTCTGACTTCCCTTTTAAAAGCTCTTAGTGGTTTCCCCACTTAACGAAAGAGAAAGAAGAGTAGGAAGTAGATTCCAGAGAATTAAGTGAGGGCAAAGAGACAAATCTGCTGAATTTTCTTTTCCTTAGTTAAAATATAATGTCTGGATCACCCTAAGCCTACACGAAAGTCAGTTATAAAACATGAAAGTTCCAGCAGGGAGGATTCTTTGTCCTTTGCCTTCCTTGCTCTCCTTTCTGTCCAGGATACTGCTGTAGTGTTTGTAGATACCCATTCGCTTTGGCTGTACCCTACACTGGGAGCCATAGACATTCTTCACTTGAAAAACTCCAGTGAGGGGCTGGGAAGATGGCTCAGTGGTAGAGCGCTTGCCTTGCATGCATGAGGCCCTGGGCTCCATTCCTCAGCACCACATAAGCAAAAAGAAAAAACCGGGAAGTGGCACTGTGGCTCAAGTGGTAGAGCCTTGAGCTGAAGAGCTGAGGGACAGCACCCAAGCCCAGAGTTCAGGCCCACCACCGGACCCCCCCAAAAAAAAGAAAGAAAGAAAAGAAAAACTCCAGTGATCACAGAGAAAGAACTATTCAAAAAGAAAATCAGATCACCTGGTTACTAGCCATTGTTGTCCATTTGTTTCTGGACTAGAACTAGTTTAGCAGGCTAGATGTGAAGTTGCTTTATATGATGACTGTTCTTTACATGGATCTGTGTATGTTCTTTTGAGCTCAAGGAAATAAAGTTTTAGAGGAGGATTCAAAAAGAAAAAAGAAAGAAAAGAAAAGTTCGGGTGAGTGTCCATGTCTCACTCAATCCTTCCCCCCTCACATCTCGGCCTCCAATGTCAAATCTCCAAAGCCCGCATGGTCTCCGGACCCAACTCTCTAACTCCCTGTAGGAAAGGTCCCCCCAGTTACGCACTCACTGAAGTAATTTAAAGAATGGAAGTCCTGGTTAGGAGCACAGAGTCCACCCTCAGAGCCCACCTCTGTCATTTCCTCATTATATGACCCTGAGCGTGTTGCTAAATCACTGCTTCATTAGTGAAATCGAGGAACATTTTTATCTCATAGGAAGTAATGATAAATGATCATTAGATATTAAAAATCTGTAGGATAGAGGAAAGAGGTGGGGTAAGACGAGGGACTGGAAGCATCTACTGTTTTCACTTTGTGTGGGAGAAGAATCTGAGGACACCGACAAGATGAGGTTCTGAAGAAGGAATGGGAGGGAAAGAATCAGAACCCTTGGGCTGGGAAGGGGGCTCAGTGGTAGAATACTAGCCTTGAGCATGCATGAAGCCCTGGGTTCCATTCCTCAGCACCACATACACAGAAAAAGCCGCAAGTGGTGCTGTGGCTCAAGTGGTTGAGCTTTAGCCTTGAGCATAGAGAGGCTCAGGGACAGAGTCCAGGCCCTGAGTTCGAGGCTCATGAACAGAAAAACAAACAAACAAACAGAACCCTTAGAGGAGGTAGCAGGGAGATAGAGGAATTCAGAGAAACAAACCCAGCAGAAGGAGCTCTGATCCAGTCCCCAGCTCCTTCAACTGGGGGAGGGAAAATCAACTCCAATACAAGGGAAAACCAGACCCTTCTGTTGACTAGACTGTTCACTCTAGCTATAGGAAAAGTCCACATAACCTGTAAGCCTCAACCCCAAGACAGTACAAATACTATGAAGCAGTAGTCACTGCAATATGAGAGGCTAGACTTGGTGAGGAATAGCTTCTTTGTCTTGGAAGATAACAATGAGTTGTCATCGTGAGAAAGAGCCTGTTACTGGGGCTGAGTCGTCATGGGGTGTTAGAACTAAGCAGCACTCATATAGTTCAGTGACCTACAGGACAGTTTTCCATAGAATCTGTTTAACAGTGGGCCACAAAAGGTGGCTGACGAGAGGGAAATTAACAGGAAATTTTACCACAACCCATATATTACCCTGTCTAAAGTAATCTGTGAGAAATTACCGACTCAAAGGACACGAGAGATTGAAATCTCTGCCAAAACTTGACCACAGATGTATTAATCCCAGAGGGAGGAAAATCATCATATTCATGAATAAACAAGGCTGCCAGCGTGACTCCCTCAAAAGCCGACAATTCCCCAAGAAAGGACTTAGGTGATAGTGAAGAGGAAAAAATTTTGAGGGGCAAATTCAATAAAACAACAGCAAGTATTAAGGAGGCAATGTATAAAGAATTGAATGAATTCAAAGAAGACACAAACAGCTAGAGAATTTAAACAAACAGCTAAAGGAAATAAAGAAGACATTGCAGTGTATGCAAGGGAATTCAATAGAGATAGAGAAAAAAAAACCTAGTCAAATTGAAAACCTAGAAGCAAAGAGTTGAATAAATAAAACACTCTCAAAAGCCTAGCTAATGGCTGGGCACCAATGGCTCACGCCTGTCATCCTAGCTACTCAGGAGGCTGAGATCTGAGGATCGTGGTTCAAAGCCAGCCCGGGCAGGAAAGTTCCTGAGATTCTTATCTCCAATAAACCGCTAGAAAACTGGAAGTGGCGCTGTAGCTCAAGTGGTAGAGCGCTCGCCTTGAGCTGAAAAGCAAAGGGACAGCACCCAGGCCCAGAGTTCAAGCACCACGACCAATCCAAAAAAGAAAACAAAACACAAAAACAAAAAGGCATACCTAATGGAACAGTACAAGTTAAAAATAAGGTGTCAGGAGTTGAAGCTAAAGCAGAAGCATTAGCTTAGCTGGGCTGCAGGCTGTGAGCCACTGGTGTCTCCCATAGAACAAGCTTAGAGATGTGTCAGCACCAAAGTCACAATCTCCCATCTTCTGAAGACCGTGTCTGGTCCTGTCAGCAGCATGTCACTCTTCTCTGCTCCTCTAGCTACACATGGGGTCCTCTACCACACGTCTCCATTTCTCTCTCAGGTGTCTACTCCAAGCTCTCTCTCAGTGAAATAAGGATACTGGGTCTAACTGGCACCATCTTGGCTTCTTGGTGGATGAAGTCCCTCCCTCAGTGCTGGGCATGCCTGAATTCTAGAGGCAGGGGTGGGGTCTGGGACAAGAGGCAACTGGATCTGCCAGACCTATACCTTGAACTCTGGAGCTCCCTGTCACCCTGCCCCCTGACCATGACCCTATTTAGGCCCGCCCCCTCCACCCATCACCTCAGCCTCCATTGTCCAAGCCTCGTGTCTCCTGACTCCTCAGGCCACCCTGGCGTCCCTCTGCAGCTCTCCATTAGAGCTGACCTGGTTTGTGGAGACTGTTTTTCTGCTCTTTCTTTACTCCCTCATGGCTCAGTTTCCTAATAGCGTAAAGTGTATTTGAGGGTGCAAGTTTTCCATGTGTCTGCTCATAGTTGCTGGCTTCCAATAGACTCCTGATTCAACCTCTCAAAACCGTGGCTTCTGTGTATCTCGCCATCCAAGTCCCCCACAACATCCGAACACCACAGTTTGGGAGCCATGGACTCTGATCTCAACATGGCCCAAGTCCAAACTTGCCTCTCACGAACCTCCCGACCTCCCAACCTTCCTCTCCTGTACTCCCCCGAAGACCCGCTATCCATTTATCCTTTTTATTTAATAACAGAAACAAAACAAACAAAAACGGGGCCCTGGAGGCTCACACTAGCTATTCAGGAGGCTGAGATCTGAGGATCCCAGTTCAAAGCCAGCCTGGGCATAAAAATCGCCTTGAAACTCTTATCTCCAATTAACTACTCAAAAAAGCAGAAAGTGGAGCTGTGGCTCAACGCGGTAGAGCAAAAGAGATCAGCAGCAGCGTTGAGTTACAGCTCCACAACTGATGAGAATGGACGGAAGGAAGGATGGAAGGAAGGAGGAAGGAAGGAAGGAAGGAAGGAAGGAAGGAAGGCAGGCCAGGCACATACTTGAGGTCTTGCTTCTCCCCCATGTGTGAAACTTGACACTGTCTCTCCATGAAATAACAAAACGTGAACATCAGCATCAGTAAAGCCCTCATGGGGCAGCCCGCCAATACCCTGCTGAGCAGCTGGCGGCTTTCTACCATCTTAGCCCTTGCTGCATGAATGAAGCCCCTAGCACTGCCTTCCTCTCTCCACTGAGGCTCTCTGTGCCGCCAGCTGCCCCGCTACGTGCCAGCCCTCCTGTGCGTGTGCAGTTGAAGGTGAGTCTTAAGGAAGCCTACTTTCCCATCACTCTTTCTCCACACATGCTGTGTTATTCCTGTGAGTCCTGGGAGACCATGGGTGGCTTTCTTGGGGTCTTTAAATGCCACGAGGGGAGACCACTGAACCTTCAACTCTTCTCCTTCAATTCTCTGCCTTTGTCTCTGCCCCTCCCTTCCCCCTCTTCCCCATCCATCCCTCGTGCCAGCACCAGCCTCCCTCACTGACCCGGGGCCTGAGGCTGGCAGAGCCAGGGCCTCCCCTTTGCAATGGCTCCTGGTCTGACTCAATGGTCAAAACCTGGGCAGCTTCTATGAGCTGCACGGAAATAACCTCTCGTTCCCTCATCGTTCCGTTCTCTCTGTTCTGGTCTCTCCCCTTCACTTCCTGTTTCTCCAGCCCATCAAAACTGGCCACTCCAGCTGCTCCAGAAAAGAAGAAGCTGGAGGCAGGAAAACTGCAAGCAACAGAAACTTGGTGGTTTCGACTGTCCAAATCATTAGCACCAAAGGACTTCCAGTTCCTAAAATGAATCACGTTCTTGTTTAGCACCATGTTTTTGAAGGCACTGGTCAATCAGGGTTATTGATGGTGAGGACTGAGAATTGGAGGGGCATAACACAAGTCTTGCCAAAAAAAATCATATATATATATATATATATATGTATATATATATGTATATATATATATATATGTATATATATATATATATTGCTAACATGGCCTGCAACCGATGCAGTATTATTCACTGGGTGGTTATGTCATAAGGGTCTACGAGGTACAGGCACAATGGATTCAGTGAGAAGTAGGGGCTCAGCCAGCACCC